TAAGTTTTCGAGCTATCGACTCGTAGAGTCTTAAGGAACGACTGAGTCTTAGCTAGGAGTAGACTCCTGGTGGATTCTTCATGTTCGTCAAGTCTCTTTTTTGTCGTCTACATCAACTATCAACTTCGATGGAAAAGGACGAGTGAGCGCCCTGTGCATGCATGGCAGGGTAAAAAGAACCTAGTGAGATAACTCAAAAGAAAATCGTTACCCTATATAGGACGAAGGCAGTAAATGTAAAACAAAAGGAATGATATCATTTTGCCAATTTAAAGATGTTCGCGAAAGTTATCTAGAGTACTCCTGAATTGTAGTGCTCAAACACATTAGCAGAACGTTGTCGTTGCCTATTGCAAATTGTACCAATCCATAATTCATATATAAATTAACTGTCTTCTTCTTCTTCAAGAGACAGGGTTTGTTAGCCAAACTAATGTACTTATGATCCCCGTAATGGCATTGGTATAGTAATGACTGTGGTCATAGTATCCCTATGTTTTCAGGCCGACCGATTGTCGTAGCACAAATTGTTTCTACTACCCAGCGAACGCCAGTCGCTGTATTACGCTTTAAACGAATGTGACCAATACCAATGAAATCGCTTTAAGGACATTTCTGCTGCTGCGACCATCTTGAAGTTAGCGTACGTATTCTGTCTGTTATTATGAATGGATGAACGTCTGAATGAACGAACGAATTAGCGCAGAGGCGGTGCGTATGTGCGTGGGTTGGCGCTCTTACGTGGAATCGTCTGAACGGCCATGCCGCAGCAACAGCAATTACAAATGGCAACGGAAGGCCGGGTGAGAAGCGTGAAGCAGGTGTAGCTTTTCGCAGCAAAACTGAATATCACAAAGGCAGAAAAAGAGAAATTCATTATAATAATGAAGATACATTTTTGAATGGAAGCGAAATATGTAGCTATGAGTCTAATGGAATGGAATCCGCCCGAGAATTATTATATAGAGAGTGTTTTATCATTTGAACTTAGCTGGAAAATATCACCGTGACCATCTGTATCTTCAGCTTTTGCTGCGTGCGTTGCGCTAATATACGTAGTCGTATACTTACGAAAGTCTCAACTCCACTATTAGTTAGTTGATTGACAATCAGTCATATATGGGCGATGTCAATTTATCTAGCTCATTGATTTGGAAACCAAACCGCGATAAGGGTAGACACTATATCGAAGTCGCCATTATCACATTCCGAAGCTAAAGTAACTTAGTCCGTTCTGCACTGGAAGGAGCGGCAGGGTGTTTCGAAAACATAAATCATGTTTTGTTTCGTTTTATGCGTGAAAAAGTAAGTACACGATATTTTTCGATTTACTCGTAATTTCGATTTCGAGGAAAAAAAGTTTTGTTTGGATGTTCTGCTAGGACTAAGATCTTTCCTTTTTTTATAATCGATTTTTTCTTCTAGAACATCATTTTTAAAGCGTCCCTTTAAATTGGAATAAGTTGGGTACATTTCAGAAGTTGTTCAACAAAATAATTGCAAATTGTCTTGGTCAATTTAATTTGTTTTTTTTTGTTGTTTTTAATGTTTTATTACATAATGTTCCACTCAACTTCAATACAATTCGAGGCCATATAGTGGTGAACCTCTTAGTTAAATATTTCGAACCACCGCGCTCCCTAAAAAATTCAAGTTTGTCTGAAAAACGCTTTCACGGATTAAGAAAGAAAACCCTTTGACTACCACGATCACTTAAGCGATAACCGCCTGATATAGTCATCTGTGTAGTCGGTTTAATAGCAAGTACGTGACCTTTTTAAAGCACTAGTATACATTTATAGGGTATGCCTCAGTTAAAGATTTAAATCATTATGTGCAGAAATATACATAGCATCATCATGCGAGAAAAGATATTTTGTAGCATGAGAGTAACGCAGAACGTTGTGTAGTTTTACTGGTTATTCACGCTTAAAGAAGTTACGTCTTGCGACATAGCCCAACTAGACCTCGAAAAGCAAATCCCAATGTCTGCTAAACCCTCAGAACTTTGCTACACATATCGCATAATAGTGGTGATATAGAATCTATACATAGCATCAAATGGTAAGAAACAATCACCCCAATGCACCTCAGTAGAGACGTGACAATGAAAGAGAAGTAATAAACTTCTAATGAACACTTTTACCTGAACAAAATAAAAAGCCGTACTCGTAATTTGTACTCGTAATGCAAATGTACATGTTAAAATTTGATGATAGTTATATTAAGAATATTGAACATATTTTAATTGTTGTTTAAGCAGAGAATGAAATATGACAAGATATACTTACATGTTTGCATTCTGTGCAAGTTCAATCTGTTGTTTAGGGCATTATACTTCGAAATAGCGTAGCTTCTTGTGATGACACCGAACTCCTACATTGGTAAACATGAAACTTACATTTACAAGGTAACGAATGATTACTTTATACATTATTGTCATAAACTGATGAGCCTCAATGATGTTTTTGTCTAACTCCAACACAAGTATTATGCTACCACCAGATGTCTCGTTAATGATATGACGCACTCACTTTATAAGAGTGTTCATGGTACGCTGCATCTGAATACGTTTACCGTCGCTTATCGTAATATTTTTACTACCACTACTATGTACAATCTTAAGCCATCTCCATAAAAGCTATTGTTCCACAGGGGAATATCTTAGAATGTTGTTAGATTGATCTTTAGTATAGTGACAGTCGATCCTTTATTGATGCGCATTGACTTTTATTCGCCCTTAATAATTATGTTGAATTAAAATGTATAATCAAGTAATTATACTTAACGAAATTTGGTTCGATGATTCTATTTGGGAGTTTCAAGAGATCATCACGGCATTTGGCTTTATCTTCCCATTACAGAAGGTGGGGTCTGTGCGTTAGTGACACAGAAGCTTGACGTGCCTTCCTGATTGTCCGATTTACCTTCTTTAGTAAATGTAACTTAATAAAAAAAAGATTCTTTGTCTTTTTCTGATCATAAATCACCAAATCTATGCCAATGTTAAATATAATTTGAGCTGTTCCTGAAAATTTTAACTAATTTGCCCATAAACCTTTTAAGTTTGCAAATAATTAGTACCAAGTCAAATATTGATTTTGAGGATCCTTGATCTTTTACGGCTGCGAGCCAGTTTCCACTCTTGCCTCGTACTCCTTTGCAATTCGTTCTAATACTACTGATAAATCTTATCATTCATAATCGTTACAGGTGAAAGTTGTCAGTGATTTTAGTCAATTTTATTCGGCCTCCTTCAGTGCTCCACGGAGCAGTTGTAAATCGCCTTGTGTGTTGTTTATACGTATAGTTAAAGGCCGCTCGATGATAAACACTGGGATACCGTAGGCGGATAATGAGTCCAGCCACGCTCTCATTAAAGTCATCAATGGAAGCTGTTAAAGATAATGTTCCAAATGTGTATTTTGCAGTTCAGATTGAATAGTCACCAAGATCGATTTTTCGTTTTATTTACGGTTATAATCTGTAGAGGACTGATGGTTGTCCAGTTGTGAATGCTGTGATCTACGCTTCAACCTAGTATATACGCTTTTGTGTCAATAAAGACGTTTGCTATTTATTCGACTTTACTTCAACACTAGTTAACTTTGAAACCCTTCACAAACATTTGATTGTAGACAAACCTTTAGAAAAAAAAAAGGCGTCTCGCTTGCTTATAGTAGAAACAACAAAACACGTAGTTGCAATGGTGTTTCAGCAATCGTTAAAAATAACAAAAGGAAAATCCGGGAAAACCTGAGCCTTTGATACACAGGGTAGTTCAATTAAATTCTGAGAAATCGGGCTGTCAGTCACGGCAGTTATTCGCTCATCCGCTATTCTTAGCATTCGAAGGAGCCAGTTCTTTTTAGAAAAAAAAATACATAAGCTAATGATAGCCAAAAATAACACGTTGTCCTTGCAATTTAAACGACGATCAGCTATGCTCAAAATTCTTCACCCGGATGAACCCTCACTGAGATTATAGACTTATTTTTTTCTCCAAATCGAGTTAGTAAAGTAACTATTAGACAGTTACTTAAGAAAAAGATGTAGGACGGAAATATACCATTTGCTTGACTACGGCTGCTAAAACCAATGAACGGATATGTCGATTCCTTAAAATTTGCACTATTCTGTAGGTCTCTTAAGGCAACTTGCTATCATTCTCAGACCTTCAAGAACCCATTGGCAAGAAGAGTTAAAACAAATCCTGCTGAAAATCTATAAGCCAATATCCTAATAAGGTTTATTTTCACTTTGTTTCGAGATCATCTGAAGCTACCTAGCCTTAGATAAGAGAAAATGGTCTATCAGCATCACCGGAGGGTATCTTTCTCATTAGCTCAGATTAGTTGTCTGCTTAAACTGTACTACCTGTGAGATATTTAACTATATTACTTGATAGAATACAGAATTAGCCTGAAGGAAAATTTCTATTCAAAACTAATTTTCTCTTTTTTAAAAGCAAATTAATTAAATTGAAAGCATAGTTAAAATAAAATAATCGAGCCAGCATTTCCATTGTTAAACTTCCTTACCTACACCCAGAATCACATCATCCATAAAAGGGATATTTTCATTGTTAAAAATTTAAACAAAGAGAATCTAACTTGGTCAGTTTTTCTATAAAAATAATCTTTATGATTGCTAAGTTCTGTGGTGACAAATTTATGACACGGGAGGAACCAGGCGAATTTCGCCTACCGTACGCTGTACCTTTTAAGACGAACACCTATCAAGGCGTCCTAAATGTCGTGCATACACAACAAAAGCTTGATAAATTTAATTAAAAATACTGACTTCATCGTCTTTTGTTTGCAAACGCCATGCTTTAAATAAAGATTAATTAGTTATTAATGCGTACGGTGTAGGTGGTCACATATATATCAATAGCACCTCTAGACTGACAGTAATCCTCATAAACTACTGCGAAAACGAGGTACATCAACAAACTGCTTAAATAGTAAAATGAAAGAACTCTCCTTTTGTATACACAATATGCTCATACCTTTTTCGCCTTTATTTTATAATTATATTCGGTTGAATAGGTATAAACAACTGCAAAGTTTCAGTTCCTCATACCTTGGTGTTTTACTTTTTCACATATTGTTTTGGTTACTCGTCTTGACACCAATATTATAATTACTTCAACCTTTGTATTCAATGAACTCTATTAATCTTTTTCGAACTAGCCATCAGCGCACCCGTCACCTTAACTGGCTCTTCCTACAGCTACGCTTACTGCAGGTTGATTTTATAACTTCAAAACAAGTTCCGCAACGCCGACTGAATCAGCACGTTACCCCTCTCTTCAAGCATTTCATACTCTTCGCAAGGATGCCCGATATATATACGCGTTTGTTTTACAGTAGTAGTATAATCACATCATCTTAATATTGGTGTCTCACGTTTGTTTCGTTTGCACGCTTGGTGATTTGCGCATCTATCTGTGGTTGATACCGCCTATATGATGTAATTCTAATGAAAAGTTCAATACTTTCTTTTTTTTTAATATTGATGATTGCCATGTGATAAATTTGCAATTAGTAACATTTCAGTGCGACTTTATGTAATCTTTATAATATAATAACATGAGAGAGGCAGCACGTTCCGCTTCCATATCTCATCGCTTGCGGTTCAGTGGTAGATATCTGCCCCTTTTTTTTTGTTTTAGCTCCCGAATGGTGCCTACATGCACATTTTATTGTTATACAGATGTGATGTATTATTATTACTCTAGTAAAGTGAATTCTTTCTCTCGTATCTTTAAGACACATTTCTACGGCGGTGGTGGCGGAGGTGGAGCACTCAACAGTGACGCAAAGTCTATTCCACTGTTCTCATTGGAGGTAGTCTCTTCGGTATTACCTGCTGTGCCCCCACTCACCGTACTAGCCCCAGTATTCTCTTGCGCGCCTGGTGGAGGACACATTGGTGGAGGCCCTCCGAACATCCATGGCGGTGGCACGGAATACATATTTGGTGGGGGCGTATGCTGACTCCATGGAGGCATCATTCCTCCACTGCCCATCGGACCACCCATGTTACCCATAGGAGGACCTCCCATTGGACCACCCCCCATTCCCCCCATAGGCCCCCCCCATGGTGGCATTTGATCCATACTGCCAGGTCCGTCATTACGAGGACCGGGAGGTGGTACTCTGGGCGGGAGTCCCCTTGGACCCCTGCTCCACTGCCCTCGACCACTACCTCCCCATCCTCCTGGACCTCCTCCTCTATTGAAGCCACTGGGACGAGCACTTCTCCATCCAGCTCGAGCAAACCCACCTCCATCAGACCTCCAACCACCCCCGTTGTTTTGCCCGGGTCCGCCAAAACCTCCTTGTGGCCCGCCCTCACCCACCATTGATCCGCTAGGGGGTCCTTGTCCGTCCTCCAGTCTCTGCTCGTGGGGGCCACCCGCTGCCCCGAGGGCTTTCATTGGCCCGCCACGGTTACCGCCGAGGACGCCCGACCCTAGAAAGAGAAACAAAAAGAACAATATTACTTACTGGTTAACATAAGATGTAGAAAAAAAAAAGATACCTTCAAATATAATTATATCTTTCATAACTAAATCCGTGCTCAAGTGTTTTTTAAAATACACTCGCCAGGCAAAATAAGCGTAGAGCCATATACAAACATATATATATATATATATATATATATGGCAAAAGATCACATGACAAGAGGTTTTGTTGACTGAGAAATGATTCTAATACATATTTGTTTTAGTTGTTTGGTAGTATTTATTAATCAATAAAGCTTATTCACCTCCGAAATGGCTTCTGTGGCCTCCTTGATCTTGGCTTGCTTGCATATCCGGCGGCGGCCCTTCGCCCAGTTCTGCCATAAGAGACATGTACTCTTCGTCAATCTTAGCATTGCCCGGTCCCCCAGAGCCCATTCCGGTACCGCCTATTCCGGCGCCGCCTTGGTTTCCCCAGCCCAGGCCTCCGCTAGCGCCTCCTTTATTGCGGCAATCGCGTGCAATATGTCCCGCTCCTCCGCATGCTGCGCAGATAACGTTGTTGGTGACGTTCAATCTATCAGGACATTGCCACGATTTGTGTGTGTTTGCTCCGCAATTGTTGCAGCGCATGAATGAATCGTCGCCTTCACGCAAAGTGCCGTTGAGCAATGCAAGCTCACGTAGTTGACTACGCCGCAGGTCGTTTTGTCCCTCTGGTGTCTCAATGACATCCTTGATTATTTGGCTGATCTTTTTGACAGCCTTTTGCACTGCGTCGATGGTCAATCCAGAACAGAGCGCATGCAGGGGTTCATCTTCGCCAGGATGCGGCTGTCCGTCCTTGCCAACTTTGCCTTCGCGAGTGGATCCCTTCCCTCGGATGGTAATCTTGGCACCGGTGTCTTTTTCGAGATTCTTAAGCGTGTTGCCGCGGGGGCCGAGCAACAGGCCTACGAAATTGATATCTGGATACTGCTCTTGAGGAATGGAGACTTTTTCTGAGATGCGAATTGAAGGCGGTTTGTAATCCGCCGGAGGCTTGAAATCGGGATTTAGCTTAAGCATCTCTTGGACCAACCCATGACGTTCATCTTCAATCCGTCGCCGTACTCGAAATTCACGCGTGTTCATCCTAAGCAAAATTAACAAGTAAAGCCATTATCAGGCATAACTGAAGAACAAAGCTACGGAGAATAAAGGTATGACGCTATCATAAAATCAACTTGTGAATCCAATAATGTTTTGTGTCATTTTCAAAAATAAATACAGTTACATATAGCATTCTATGTATTATGCTTTATGGGAGCTACCTAGAATATTGGCAGAATCTAAGATTTGCGTAAGCTTTATCGTGATTTCTCTGTGAAGGAGATGAAAACACATATGAATTCGCGTCATCCCATATCCAAACGACTTTTCGATGGCATCCTGACGGGCGTTAATACCAAAGCACAAAAACGGTTATTACTGGCTCCAGTGTCATACCTAAGAAACAGCATTTGCCCAGGCGGTTAGTAAATGCGCAATCCAGTAGCTAATAAACGTCAGTATTTAGTGCATAAATAAAAGAGTATTTTCAAAGGTGACTCAGCTAGATTAAATTTGCTCGAGCACAAAACATAATTACCATAAAATGATGATAAAAAATACAAGCCTTTAGCGGGTTAGCATAAAATTTCACACTGTGCGCAATCTACATAATGAAGGTATACTGGTAAGATCACAGTTTTTTACTATTTTTTTACTATGCCTTTAAAATAAGGCATTTTAAGGGTCAGCTTAGGTTGATCTAAGGCTTTACGTTTGTAGAATTTGTAGTATATTCAACTCATTACACACGCTAAAACTTTCCACAGCTGTAAAACCTCCTTCAAAAATACAATGGTTGCAAATTAAGCATCATGGTCTACGGCAGCTGAGACTAAGAACTGAAAATGGTTACATATATCAGATCTTGTCCTCCGCAAGAGTTGGACAAACTATACTTGACCGAAATTGAACCATTGCTAGAAAGCCAAACATCGCACCGCAGAACGTTACATTTAATAATGATGCCTATAAGGGCTGGCCCCAGAGGATTATCAAATCTAAAGCAGTATATCAACAAATATATTCTGGCCACCTGCAGGGAAAGTGCACCTAAGCTCCCACGGTTTCTATATCAAAATGACATCTAATCATTATTTTAGTCGTAGAAACGACTGAAGTAATCCTATGTGTAATTTACTTTATCTCCCGCTTTAGTGCTCTAGACTTAGCAAATGGGAAACGTTGCCGTTTAAGCACGAGTTAACGCATCTTGATGGAAAACATCAGAAACAGTTATATATTCAGATTTTTATCTGTCTGAGGAAATGTTGCTCTCGTTGTTCACCTACAATTTAATATCGACAGGAAGGAACAACGGCTTTGCTGCTGGTCGATGCGGCGCACACCTGCCTATACACTCATTATACACTTGCCCTCATGATGTTGTAAGAGAACAAGTAGTGGACACTTTAAAATCTGTGCAGCCTTATCATAAAAAAACACTACGTTTCGATGAATATTTATTTTTGAAAGACACTTGTACCAAACGAAGGAAAAAATGTTTGGCCTTCGTGGCCAAGAGCCAATAAAAAAATAATAGATACCAATCAAGATTCTCGATAAATATCACCTCATATGATATTAACCTTTATTAACGTTTATTTTTTCCAATCTTATATCCCTAATCAATGAGCTCGTTGGGCTACTATAGTTTCCGTTACGGCACACTGTCTACGAAAAAATCCCTGTGAAGAAACTAATACTTAAGCAAAAACTAATGTTTGAGATGCTCTCACGTCGCGAAAAAATTGCGACAAAACAGGCATTACCCCTTAAACATTGCTGGTATATTTTCTTATTTCAAAAATCAGCCAAATCATCTGCAAAGTCACGAAGTGTTCGTGCAAGATAAGATTGCTGAAAAAAACTTATCCTGCTAATTTAAGAAGTTCACAGGTATTCACTTAGCTATAAATAGAATGTGGGACAAACAAAGAAGAAAGTAAGCTTTTGATAACTCATCTCTTGTTCTCGTTTTTACAGTAAATTTACTTCGTAATATCACTAGATGCCAGTTATACCCGGTAAAAAGGTCAGAAAAAGCGCTTTAAAGAAATTAATTCCTTACCTAAATTTCTCCTAGATTACCATAAAAGCAAATCGCCCGTCTCCTTTATATCTGTTCTATTGTAAGGTACAATTAACTTTTGTTGATTCTTTACCGAGCAAATAACTTTTATTACTTAACCGTACAATATGCTTAATCACCCTTTAGTGTAGGTTTAGGCCCTTCAAGTCCTACACAAAGGACAAAGGTCAGTTGAAAATCTCACACCTTCTAATGTAAGTATAGAGCAACTCAATTTCGACACTGTATTTGACAATACTTCAACATGAAATGCAGAATATTACGGATGGCATTATTAAGCTTGAAAACGTTTATCGAAATTGCAACAGGAGAGCTTATGTCGTGTAGAATGATAGTGAACTACGATATTGAAGTTGGTGACCTCCAATGCTCTTTGTTTGAACCTAAAGATATCACCTTAGATTTAATTACATGTGATTCAATATGATACGGCGTTTAACATTAGGCTCAAACCACGGATTTTGCTTGTTGTGCCTTACCAATGGTTGCGCAGAAGGGGCCTCGTCAAAAAAGATCACACAGGCAATGAATTTGGGCGAAGTAATTTCGTTAATATAGAAAACTTCAACAAGAATTGAACTACTACTTCACCTATACTAACCGCTTGCCCTGCGCATTATACACAGGTTCAGGTGAGGGCGATCTTTCCTCTGGGTTCGCTGGAATTCCTAAATCATCCATGCGAAGTCTTCGAGTTAATTCCTCTATTTGTAGCTGAAGGAGATACGCTCGTTCTTGTTCCTGAGTCATATTTCCTGGAAAAGTTCGAATATGTTTACCAAAATTATGTAATATTATGAAATCTTTTTACAATATAATTCGTAAGGAAGAAGGCTTTGAATAGCATATATGGCCAGGTTTCATTGCAAATATGCTTTCCTAAAATACCTAGTTTAATTTTTGCGTACTCAAATCCATGTCTCGAATGAAAGCTATTAAAAAATTTATGTTTCTTATCAAATCTGCTGTTTTTGAAACTTCAGCTACTTCAACTTGTGGATTCAAATACCCTGATTGAACAAACTGGTAATGACAGGAAACGAAGATACAGCTTTAGCTGGTTCATTCTCATACTATCAGAGTACCTGTGGTAAATGAAGTAAATTATCGAATAGTCTTCAGTCGTTACAATGAAAACCTAATGGAAAGTTTGTCCAAAGATTTTTTGAGGCCTGAACACTCTCGCAAGGTGTCGTTGATTTGCGGAAATGAAGATTCTTTAGCAGTTATATATGCTCAGTCATCAGGTTATACAAATTTCAGCAAAATTTAAAAAGATGCTTGAAACCCTTTGCAATTTTATAACATACCGAAGATTCATGAAATCCGCAGAAATATCAAATCGTCGAACAATTCAGCTGATTTTAACATCGCTTTAATCCCTCTTAGTAAGCCCGCAAAAGGTTATCGAAACAGGGGTTCCCCGATGGACGCATTTCGAAATGAATAGCAAAACGGGAGCAAATAACTTTAGTGTAAAACAAACTAAAAGGCTCAAAAAGCATGAAACATGCTAATTTTTGAGGAAAAAATAACGCAGAATTTTTATTAAAATAAAAAATAGAACGAAAAGAGTTAATTTTTTTCCGATCACGAAGATTCAGGATGTTATAAAGTCCTTGGAAATCGAGCTTATATGACATACTCGCAACCGGTTATTAAGATTTTGAGCAATCCTATTTTTATTTTTCGTGTATTTGGCTGTTTTATAGGTCAGATGTAAAAAATGGCTTACTACCTTTTCTGGATTACTTATCCTAATACAGATCAAACCATAATTGCCAGACGTGAACATATGCGCAAGGCTCTCTTTACCCTCACTCATCATTGTCGTCATTGAAGCAGTGTCACCTGTCGAGATCTAACAACAATAGCGGTTTGAGGTATTCGCGCTTAATGCGATTCACAGGAACCAATGTTTTTTAGAATTCACTCAAAATGTTATCAAAAACTCCTTGGCAAACGTTTAAAATAGTTCTAATAAATAAAAGTCTACTACTGTGGCTGTAGGAACAATAGACTTAAAACTAATTCACGTGTTTGTTATCAACCTTTTAAATTAATTCGGCTTAGCTTATTTGTTTTAGGTTTTGTAAATGCGTGAAAGCATCGCTTTTGTGAGGTCGGGCTGATCCATCATCATTGCATGCGACTTAAAGCTCCATCCTGAATTCTACAAGGTTAGTAAATCTCTCACAATAGCAGCTTTGCGCATGCGAATATGATTTAGCGACCGTTCGTCGTACAAACTTGCCTTAAGTACTGTATTACCTGAGTGTAGCTTAGCTCTTATGAAGATTTCGGGAAATGAACAAAAAAACAGTCTTTAAATGTGGTACTCGGGAGAGGATATGCAAAAAGACATTGTTGTACACGCCAATACTAACAAACAAGCGGCTGTAAGATTACGTGCACTGGGACATTCTATATATATATATATATATATATATATATATATATATATGAACTAGAGGAAATAATATATGCAAGCACAATAAAATTTTTAATCTAAATAGATAACGATGATGTAAATGTGTAAACGGAATAAACACTTTGCATGGTCACATGGTGGAATATTAAATTTTTATACTTTGTTGTTTGGCCTGGAGGCCACGTAACTCATTGTTGCTTCAACTGTATCTTGTAAGAAAAATGTTTAAAAATTTAAAATTGTATTGAATTTCACACAAATGTTTACGTAGTAATGTACAGTAGTTTCCAGGAAGAGTCAGATGCATCCGCGCTGTTGCTCTAGCCGCTACGTCATTTCACTTAACTTGGGTAATCAAGTTTATAATGCTGTAGCGTCAACATTTGGCAGTCCTTATTTACGATTTTTAGAAGGCCTGTCACAATTTGTTTCTGGAAAGCTCTTTCAGCCTTTTATAGTTTTGCCAAAACATCGAAGTAGCCTTACGTTGTTTATTTATACTTGATTTGCCAATGATGATGTTCATCTGTATACTGGAGTGAGCACTATTTTGCTTATTTTTTTAGATTGAGCCTACGCGAATCTAGATTAAATTTACACAACGATATATATTACATAACTTCTTGTCCACACAGATTGCGGAGTATGCGCTTTTCACTTGAAGTAGCGACCCCCGTCCCGTTCAATTATAGGTACATCATCCAGATCACCGCATCGGCATCATCATATTATATGTATAATCTGTCCAGAAAATATCTAGACAAGATCTTGATACCAACATATTCTTTAAGTGTTTTTCGATCAACTGAGATTAACTTCAGTAGAAAAAAACAATTTCTTTTTAAGAAAATCTCGAAAGTTAACTCTCGAAAGTGTCACGTATAATAAGAGCCTATTAACTGAAGAGCACTGTAGAAATTGCATCTGCAAAATTTTATTTAAGTGGATTTCTATCATGTTAACTAACCATCACATCGTCATTATCTAAAATGCGATATACATGGCACATTTAAAGTGAGGTGCCGTCGGAATATTAAATATAAATAAATTAAGATAACATTAGCGCTTGTTTTGTGTTTGATTTCGAATTTTTGAAAAACCTACGAAATAAAACTATGCGTCTGAAGTGATTATATTCTAGCATTTTTCAATACCCACATTTCGTTATAATAAATAGCGTAGACACTCGCAGTGTATTTCGAAAACGCTGAAATCTGGAAAATGTGTGAAAACTTGACTTATCGGACTTCATCTAAAGGTTACCGTTAATAATGCTAAATATTGACCTTCTCTGTCGAAATGGGCTTCCAGAATTATTTTTTAATAATTTGCTTAATATTAAATAAACATGTTTTCACCCATTAATTTTCCGCACACGTTCTTTTTTATATAATTCTTTGGTACAAATAATTGCTTTCCCTGTTCAACGAGCACAACATGTTGATGATACCGAACGTATGAATTCGATGAAGAAATATGCGCACTTTCAGTGGTGGCAATCAGATCATCATACGAATTCACGGCAAAGTTAGATAGGCAACAGTTATGAATATGAAACTGACCATAAACTGTTATGAAGACAGGCTTAGCCTTCCTGAAAAGAAGCTCGGCTACTTCTCGAAGTCAGATATTTATTCTACAAGCCATGGACAAAGACCTTTCATTCATCACAAAATGACCAAACGACACTTCATTGCAGATATATTCACATGTATTGCTGACCTCTTTAACAGAAGCTCGTTCAAAGCTATTGGAAAAGATGCAGCATTTCCTTTCATACTAAATACGAAACAAGAATCGTATACGGGATAAGCCTTTGTAGCGGAACAAAAGGCGTAAGAAGCTGCCATCACAAAACGCAGAAGTCACACAAGAGATTGGCTGACCACGGAGAAATCAGATCGGAGTGCTCTGGTCCGATATGCTTAGGAGGCCGACGAGTGACAATAGAAACAGTCGTGTTAGTCAAAGCAGTCGCAAATATCTCACACTACTAGAGAGACCCACAATTCGGAACCCACTAGAGAGGTCGATCAACAAAGGTACAATCACAGGAACCTCCATTTCGTAACCGTAAAAGACACTAAGAGTCACTTATTGTTCAGCAGTGCGAAACGACTTACTACCATAATGGACATTTAATTGGACCTACGCCATTTTTCATATAGAAACCTAGGTCTACAGAGGTTTAAAATTTTGCGCTCTACACAGAATATTGTCCAGAATTCAGAGCAATTAATGTGGGACACTTAATAGCGAAGTGTGGCTTTTCTGCAGCCTAGAATAAAACGAGACTAAATTTTGCATGGCAGTGGGAATTCTGTGGAAGTGGAAAAATCGCTGTTTTAGAGTAATCAGTTCAATTTAAAAAGTAACTGAGTAAGTAAGTGAGTAAGTTAGATAGAAAAAATCTCAAAATGAGATCATTAGACAAAATGATTGTTATGTTTACGGAAACTCATGCAGATTTGGATAACAACAAATACCGAGGTTTCGAAACCTGAAATGCAAAAATAAATGATCCAGTTGTTTTTAATAATTATGCAAATAGACATGCAGCACTTGAGAAAAGATTTCCAAATTGTTACTAGTGGAAACATCGAGTGCCATGCAGCTGTCCAAGTAGATATCACCCTTCCATTGTGTTAACGTACATACTATCCCTACGGTTTAAATAAATCGTCATATTCGAAACTAGCAAAGCTAGTTGACGGCATAATTAATGCAATGGAAAATTGTTACATCGAAATCTACAACATGTTGTTCACGGGTTAACTCAAAGCACGGCTTTCCCGATTTAAGCGGAGCAATAGCATCCGTACACGACTGTACTGTGTTCACATTGGCATAAAGTGCTATGACAGGCCTCTCTGCTGATCTGAAATGATCAAAACGTATGTAAGGCTAAAAGCTGTGTATTTTCAACTGAATTTCAACTGAAGTTTGGAATGCATGGGAGCAAACCTACATATGCATTAAAAATTCGGAGTTCGACAAGCTAATCGACTCTTCTCGCAATATCCTTGCCTCACGTGATCTAATATCGAAACATACGCTCTCATGCGTTATCGCTTGAGAAGAATAAGACATGTTATAACCGAAAGGAAAGTTTCTGAAGTTACATGCCTCTGACACAGTATAGGGCATCGTTGTTTAGTGTTTGTGTAAACTGAGACCCCAACTCTAGTCCATGTATAAGACGCGTTTTATCGGTAATCGCAAAAGGAAATGGAGCCATTTACGAAATGCTTTTATTTGTTCGGGTTCTCCGATTTATTGGTTTTCTTGAGTGGAAGTCAGTAGTACCTCCGGATGAACAAAACCGACTTCGGTACGAAGATCCATGTACAAAATTCTATTGGAAGGGATTGGTAAACTTGAACTCTAAAAAGCCAATCACTAAATCCGCTTTTGTAAATGGAAGTTACCAAGTATAGACAAGTATAAACCAAGCAAGATACAAATGCACGAAGACATTTACAAGATTCGAAAGACAAAATATTTCAACAGAACTCTACTCCATTTTCGAGTTACAACGACAACTATTCGTCAATCATTCAGGACTCATAAAGAGGATTACTGTCTTAAAGCACTGACAATGGTAAACATGTTTAAATAAAATCATCTTCCTTTGCCCAAAAAAAACTAAATATTTCATTATGTACTGTTAAAGCCTAGCCGTTAACAATACAAAGAAACGTCGACTGCGGTCAAGAAAGCCTCTGTCGTGTGTATACCTAACACCATGTGCATACTATACATGTATATAATAAAAGTAACTCAAAAAACACTATAAAAAAAAATTGCGTAAAGTGTTTTTCTTGTTAATCGAATGAAAAGACCAGCATCTTTTTTTCAGAAAATGGAGGCTGACATTAAGATCTTCTACAGAAAAAAGATAGTGTTTTCCCGTAAGGTCTATTTACAAAGTGTCAACGACAAATTTTGCTATACGCATTTCACACTCGGTAGAACTCTATCTTAAACTATGCTTATTAAAATCTGAAGTGTATTCATTTATAAAGATAACACTACAGATTGCTTAAATTCAAACAAATTTAGCCAGAATGTCTTGAATTTAATTCATCTCCAACCTGTTCTTTGTAGATGGGGAAATCTTAATAATCAATATTTTAATCTTATTCAGCATAGCTCAAAATAATGTTTAAATCATAGCTTAACTATATAACAGTTTCCTTACATTTAAAAACCGCAATGCCAATGAAAAATATACAAAGAAGTTAAATCGTAGTCTTTACGTAAGTCGTAAGTTTTGCGTACCGGGTAGAATTGTGGGCATGCCTGGAATAAACACCTTGTCTTCGGCACCGCCTCCCCAGCGCGATCGCTTTCTACGCTCACGGCGTGCCTCACGTGAATCCTCCTGCGAATTCTCGTTCATGACCATTGGTGGGTTCTAAAACGAATGTCAAGCATAGCATTTAAATATCACCGTAAATTTATTTTTATTCCTCATTGTCCTTTATTTTTTTTTTAATTTTAATAAGTTCTATTCGAACCTACGACACTGACTAGGCTGAGTCGGTTTGATTTTGTTGCTAGGTCTTCAAAATAATTTCATTTTTCATTTAAACAAAAATTAGTTTAAATTGAAAAGAAATGGGTACACTTAGCATTTTAAAACAAATTCTGCAAACTTACGAACTGTAGCTATGGAACAATGATAATATAGATGTAAATTATTCAAACTATTATGATAGAGACGAACTTTTGAGGTGTCTCATATTGGCTTACTTATATTCGAAAAATTGCTTGTTTATATTCGTTAAAAAGTATTCTACCTTTGTATAGAAATTATTTTTTTTAGATTTTAAGGTAATAGCTGCAGATAATCAACTCAATCATAAAAATGGGTAAATTGCATTATTAATAAAAAAAAAAAAGGGAACGCGTTTGCCATTGGAAGATGTAGCAAAGCCTTCAATTTAATTGGCGACCCAGATTACAAGTTTACTTTAATTAAATAAGAGATCAAGGTTCCCAACCTTACCGTATATTAACATGCTGCAAAATTTCGATACCTGAGCAACTGAAATCCTTTACGCAAAGAAAGCTTGCGGCAAAACACGAACCGTAAGCCCCGTACTTGGCCATATTGGTTTGGCCTTGTAGTAATGAACTAATTCTTGTATTTAAATAGAATGCTTAGTGAGTAAATAGGTGGTTGCCTACACAAACGTTAAATGACTACCGTTAGAGTTTTTTATACAATACATTTCATTACGCAATAGGTATTTTCTAACATATCTCACATAAATAGACGTAAGATGGTCAAATTAGTCCTGATCATTTTTCACAGCGCGTCACAAACTTTGATTTTTACGACGTTTTTGAAGTCCGAAAGGCCATCTTATTTTATAGATCCCTTAGTTTTAGGCAAAAGCTGTACTCACACATTCCCTCCGTTTGGGGTTTAAGAGTTCATTTGCTTTTTTAGTATGAAAAGCTGAACTAATTATGGTAAAGTGAGCCAAATTTAAAAAGGAAAATCTTATTGGAATTTGCCAAAAATACTCTATAATGCTGTCGTGTTGTATTGCAAGATCCATGTTAGTACTTTAAGGCTAAGGCATACGCCGCATTGCAAAGATGAAGGGGCTTGTTTTTTGTGTGGAAGGTTAAAAAAATTCGTCCCTATAAAAATATCGTTCGCTAAAAGTAAAGCCATCTATCTAGTGAAACATATTATGAAATCTGAAATTAATATTGAGGTTTCAAAAGCAGTGATAACAGCGATCAACCTGACCCCACCAATACACGCGCCACGAGTTTGCCACAAATTTATGTAAGTCTGCTCCTTGCTTAAACCACATTGTGTTCGAGAGAAATACAAACAGTGAGTGAGCATTATCCAATATAGATGAAGATCAGTGAAATCTGAACCAATTGAATGTCGATTCTCGTAATCATTTATCACCATATTAATTAATATAAACAATCTATATTTCGCCGATTTTCCAATTCTCAGTACAATTGTACAAAAATGAAACGGTGCTATACACGAAATAGCTATCAGATAATTGGAGCCAAAAAAAGACTCCAAAATCTGCTAAATATCGCATTTTTATAAGTAATCCAATTGGCGGCACACGCTTGTGTCTAAATCAGTCAATAATTTGCAAATCGAGACATCAAATCATCTCATAAATGAATCTGGTTACCCTTAAATATTGTTGCCAACTTGCCATTATTCAGTCGATCCTAATCTTTCTAACGGGTTTGAATTTCTAAGAAATTATTCAAAAGATAGATGTAATACTGTAAATCATCGATGCAAATAATAATACTAAATTGGCTCAGCGCGAAAACAGTAGTGGCATTCCGGTTAGATTGCCCAGGTTCGCCGTAGTTTGTTTATATCATAATAACCGCGCGAAGCCTCTCTAGCGTTCTTTTTTTCTAATGCATAATCTCTGGACCCGATACAATAGTTGGCTGGACATCCTTTTTTATTTCCACCAATTAAATCAAATACCGTAGTTGATATAAATAAAAATGTATTTTATAATTATTTGTTCATTTTATCAATATTCAATATTCTTTCACTTTCGATTTATAGTCTCGCTTTTCTTAAAAACTATATAGTCGTGTACGATGAACAAGTGATCACTTGGCGATATAAATATTTTTGATAATATTGGCTCAATATCAGCATGCTGTCTTTTATCGATGAAAATTCGAGCGCGTATAAAAGAACAATATTATGTTAAAAATGTTATTAGAATCAGTTACAGTGAGTTCTCCTTGGCAGTTAGGCACAAGGGTTTCCTTAAACGAAATAACGAATTTTTGTCTACATGCTACGTTAAACCTTATTTCTACACAATCGTCCCTTACTTGCTAGGTGTTTATGTCGGTTGAAAATGGCTTACGGGGAAATCTGCCGAAACCCATTTTTCTTCATCACCAACTACGATTGTCCATTAATCGTTAACTCATGACACCCCTTATATGACGGAGACCTTAAATATAAGGTAGTCAATCACATTTTCTCCGCCACAATAGTGGATCTTTTATAAAAACGCGTACATTTGTCGCAGTTGTGTGTTACTAGCAGTTTGGTGTTTGATAGCACTCACAAACAGCAAAAAAAAAGGGTAAAACTGAAAGATTATTTTGTTTGCAGTACTTTTTTTTTGTAAAGAATTAGTTACTGTAGTAATATGTCTATTAATTCGTTTCGAAATATTTTTCCCTTAAAGGCGATGGATATTCTGCTTAATATAATTCGACAATTAATTTCTAACTTTCCAGACAGGAAAGGTAATTTGCTCAGAATATAGACCACACAGTTCAGGTAACGCAGCCGATCGTACGTGCCCTTATTGCTCATATCAGACCAATACAGCAAGTAGCCAGAAGTCATATCACTGAAACGGCCCGCGGGATACCATTTTAAGCGACAGATCAGCGTTGAATAATTTGTTCGAAAGGGAATCTAGGTAAAAACTGTAACTTAACTCAGAGTCTGCTTTTCAGTTGGCAGTTAATCATTAGAATTTTCTGTGAGATCTTTCAAGTTCTGAAATGGTGCGTCGAAATAATGCAGAAAAATTACCACACAGAATTGAAAAGTAATCTCGACTTTTTCACCTAATCAGAATAAAGCGTGTCCATCAAAATTAAATAACAAATTAATTCATTACCTATTTTTCGCGACTCTCCGCGATTTCATCTATTTATTTCGAGTTTATGCATTTTCACGTGTTTAGTTTCCTAGTCGGTTTTTGGGACTGGATTTATTTTCATACATTCCATCTACAATGATCGTAGGGACGAGATTCGGTATACTGAGGTCCAGAAAATACATTGGGTTTTAAAATTAATTAACTTCTAACCCTAGTTTTTGCAGGGCGTATTTCGCCGCTTTTGCCATGTGTGCCTGACGTTTTTCTGTGAAAAGATACCATTGCCTAGTTTATCGGTTTTTTTTTTAATTTTACATAGCTTTGGTTATATATAAACTCTTATTGGCCATATAGTCTTTCTCAAATATTTTCAGTGTATAAGACTTTTCTAGGCTTACTAAACGGGAACCATCGCCCATTTCGAATGGAAATTTAATTTGGCTTTGAACTTGGATAGATCTCCAAGAACAAGACATCCCTTCTCCATCCTTACAAGAAACAACAGTTCTCGTTACCCAAAACAATTTATTGTACGCATCTGTCATTGCGGCTTCGTGTTCCTCAATGAAACACGTAGCCTTAATGTTGAGTGAGATCAAAAAATATTGAAAAGACCGCTTCGCTGCAACGTACACTATTTTCAGGGGCACGAAGGCGCCTAATTTTTTGTGTACTTTGTATAAATTGAAGGCGCCTGATGACAGTGGAGCGCTCGCAATCCATATTTTATGAAAGTCAGTTAGGGTCAGGTACATCCTTTAGGTCCAATATAACATCTTTGCGCTAAGCAAACCACCTTCGAGTAGTCTTCCCAGTTGTCTGTTGAATATAATGGAGAGGAAAGGAAAATAACCTCTGCCAACTTAATATTATACGATAATGATTAGTTTTCGTTTAAAGTGATATTACTATTAGTAATAAAACAAGGAATCTTTGTAAATAATGTAATTGTTTTTGTTTACGTAAGTAATTATATGAATAATAATGTGTGTATAAATTACTTCGACAAATTTTCGTCGTAATTTCAATGTGTTCCACAAGAATTTTGAATAAATCTTCCAAGACACCAAAGCACGTTTTTAGAGATAACCTTTTATATGGGAAGGATTAAAACATAACTCATCCACTTCTTACCGAATTATTATTGTTGTTGTTGTTAATAATGTTGGTTCCTGGCGGAAGTTGGTCCCACGGCGAGATAGAGGACCTGGACAGTTGCGGCACCATCATAACGCTAGGCACTCCACTGCTATTTACTACTGTCGTCTGTTCTCGCTGACTTTGGCTGTTTTCTCGATCTCGATCTCTATCACGGCTTCTGCTGCGGCTATTTCCACCACGGCCACGAGAGCGACTTCTTCGTTCTCGGGATCTCGAGCGACCCCGGTGTCGATCCCTGGAGCGTGATCTTCGACGTCGGTCTCGGGATCGAGAACGGGAACGCCGACGCCGATCTCGAGACCTGACCACAAATACATACAGTTAAAATTATGTACCACAAAATTAGAAAACAGAAGAAAAGTTAGCGTCAGAATGTTATGTTCACTTCAGATGGACAAATTCAAGATAATTAAAATGTGCCTGAAAAAAAAATTGAACAATTTTGAAAAGTATGTTTACTAAGAAGTATCAAAGGTATACAAACTTCTTTCTTTGATACGTAAACCGTATGGTTTTTCCGTATGGCGTACAAACCTGCTAGTTAGAAACCAGCTCCTCACTACACCCTTAATTTATTGCCTTGGTTCCTCCTGTGGGACTTCAGTGCATACAGTTTTCATTCAGAGTATTTCTTCGATTATATCGATTCGATCGATAAGAGCTATCGATTTGGGACAAGATCCTGTCGTAGCAATGTGCCATTCAAATAACATTACATTATAAAGCATATATGATAAAAAGGGCCGAATCCTAGGAAAAAGATAGGCGCGCTATATTACGCATAGTTAGATGTTCAGTACACACATTTAGTAGCGAAAGATAATTTTAATCCTTGATCTCTTGATTAAGCTTCCGCAGTCTGTACGTTCCCTTGTGGCGGATTAGGTTTTTGTGCGCTCGACCGTAACTCTACGTAGGGGAGTTTACTGGCACAGACGAAACGACTGTAAAAATATTTTTTCGATAGCGAACATCATTCTGAATTAAAATATTACAACAAACTCTCAGACGCTGAGAAACTTTGAATTTTCCATGTGATTTTCTCATATCTCTCGGAAAACCTAAAGTTGAATGTTTCCTTCATACTTAGCAATCGCTAAGGGGATTTCCATCTTTATTATTATCTTTTTTCTATCTTTAGACTATCTTTTAAAGGTACTTCTCGAACGCATACAATAGTACTTAATTGATATATTCGTTTTTCTTTTGTATAGATAGTCAAAATTTTGAAAGAAAACAGCTAGCGACTTCGACATGAGCGATCTCGAAAAGCCACCAGTCCAGCACAACGATAACATAAAATTGGAAAGGCTTTGCCTATTAGACACTGACTTGAAACCTCGTTGAAAAAATGTTTTGCAACATCGTAGAATAACTGGCAGAAAATACAGAAAATGCATTTAACATTTTTTATCGTCATCTATTTGAATCATGCAACATGCATATCATCACATATATAAGAGCTTTTCGGCTTTCTCTCTCAATTTAGCATTCCTATTATTCCTGTTTATTTTGAAAACGATGAATACGCTCAATCGACCAATAAGTCGATCGTAACTTTAATAGTGTACTCAAGGGTTATCATTTCAGCGGACAAAATATTAGTGAAAAGGACGGGGAGAGGCATTATTACCGGGTTACTTCAGCAGAGAACAAAAAACATGGCCGCGAAGTCGGAGACTACGTTCATTCATGCATTACGAGAACCACAGGGAGTGACATTGACCGAACAACAAAAATAGGTACTACAGCAACACTCATGCCCAAGAGAGTAATAGGTCAGTGCGGCAAGGTAAGATCTCGAGTACACCTGGACGTCAGATTTGTGCGATGTGTCGACGACAAGTCACTCCCACTAAATTGAATGACAAGCAGACAAAACTGCCCTCACCCATCAAAACTGCAAGTCTATAGCTGCGAGGACAGAATATAATACACTCGATTCCTGTGTGTTTGAGTCATTGTTCGTTTGTGCCAGTAAACTCCCCTATGTAGAATTGCTGCTTCGGTATCATTTTTTTTTTTCTGTGCACTGATAAAGTACATCCTGGAACACCTATCGATTCTCATTTTTTATAAATCGTTGAGTACATACTTTTTAAGTAATGTGCTACTTTTATTTTTTCTTAGAAGCATAATATATTCTCGCAGAAAAAAAGCTTGTTCTGCTTCTATTGCGCTGAAAGAAATTGCAAAAAGGAAGGTGTCGATGCAATTACGTCGCTTTCAGAAAACCTGCAGTGTACGAATAAAACGTAGATTTCAACGGTATCGTGTGATCCTAAGCTGCAGAGTAATATGTGTGTAGAACAAGAAACTTCAATGGCGTAATGAAATATACGACCGATATAGAACATGAATCTTGTTTCAATTTGCATGTGTATAACAATATTATGCATGTAATTTTTACTTGTCTTCATTCAGTATTATAGGCCTTTTTATTTTGAGAATGCTGAATCGAATGGAGCGATCATAGCCGGAGACGAAAGAGTCATTTGTAAAACGGTTAAATGAGGTACTCCGTCTCTCGAAATAACTGTAGACTTCCAGCAGGACTAGGACACGTTTAGCTGACTCGCAAATCTGCTATTTTGAATAATTGCGAATGGTACTTATACATTATGAACAATTCACGCATACAAAAAAGTCCAAAAAATAGGATATTTAAACATTAATGGTTAATATTACAAAATTTAGTTTTAGCTTCATAAGAGCTGATCTGAGCCAGTTAATATAACACAGCAATGTAAGAACTCTATTTCGTTATATGCACAGTTTGCGCGTGACTTAGTGGTCACATTTTCAAATCCGAATTATGCATGCAAACGCAGCAATGCAAGATTCAACGTTTATTGGATGAGCTACTAGAACACAGATAATTTTCAGATTGAAATACACCACTTTTGCATCACCTGATCATGATTATGTGACGCTGCAGTTACTGAATAAATTTGACAAAGAAGCGCAACTGAAAATGCTTATATTAATTAAAACGGTTCTTTGGAGATGCATCTATCAAAATCTTAAAAAATGTACGTTTTTTCATTTTTAGGTAAATTACCGTAAATATTCACGCTACAGTTGGTTGCGGATATTGCCATTAGTTTCGTCGAGATTGCACTAGTCCATCGTGTACTCGTGTTATGCTATAGGGAGGGAGTCTCAAGGTTGTATTCAACTATAGAAAAAGGTTCTTGGCTTCTTACTTAGAATTTCTTAGTATTTAAGCTAAGTACATTAAGCACTAGCTGTACAAACGTTCATTGAAAATAACTGATCTAGATTAATCTAAACATCAAACCGTATTCAACAATACGCAGAAGTTGTCTTTACTTGTTTCTTTAATTTCAAATAGTGTCACAAGAAATGCATGACAACTATTTTGCAATCGAAATGAGAACTTGAACGGGTTCACTGAATGATCTATGAATGAGAATCATTTTTTTTGTTGTCGTGTTCAGGCATACTCTGGGTTCTTCTGACTTTGGTTCCGGGTTCCGTGAACTATAATCTACTGATCAGATAGAAGTACCGAACCAAAAGGCAATTTGGAGGCTTTTAAAACATTGTATGCGTGTATAATTCGGCCTTCTACCAGTAATGTATTCCTACAGCATTTTAGGCTATTTCTCCGCCAACGTGCCAAAAGTGCTCCGCCAAATTCTGATAGCAGATTTTCGAATCGTTAGAGGCATCCTTCACCGGTGGCGTTTTTCACCATTAACCAGATGAAAGTGGGCAACTTTTCGCTTCCACGACGTGACCTTACATAGCTATGTATCAAAAAGAATAAACATCCGGTGGCAACTTTTTTATAGCAGGCCAAAATATTGCTGGATATAAACTTCGCAATGTACTTTTGACCATTCTAATTTATTGAATGATTGCTGAAGTACAAGGTAAATCACTTTTTCCCTTTTCTCGAAAGAAATATAAGCAACTCTGGATTTATAGATCCATAATTGTTCAAGTTCAAAGGTTCAACATAAGACTAGGTCCACTATAACATAAAATTATAAGTATTATAAAAAAGTTAATTGGTGATTTAAGCAACTTCGAACCCTCACTATTTGTACATTTTATTTATAAACCTTGGCAACTGCTTCCCTGAGCTGTTCCGAACATTCTCGTCAGTTTTTAGTAACTTCTGCGCTATGAAATGAGGGGACTGAAATAGCGAATAGCTGACTCTGCCTCTTTCATTACTTTACGCAATACAGCAAACAAGAGCTAAAGAAACAGAATAGAAGATTAATACGTACTATCTTCTAACAGCGCCCATCATCTTTGTTTTCAGCGTTTGGAGCTTAAGATTTTTATTTGCAAAAGACGCAATATCGGACAAACGTAAAAACGGATAATGATAGACTGTCAACTCCCATTGCGTAAAAATGTGGCCTAGTCACCTCGAAACCTCTCTGTACATAGAAAGGTTAATTGCGTCATTGCTGTCAATCTTCGGCATGCATCAGGGTAAAGAGTAACGGCAGTAAAGTAGGTCTAATAAAAATTTAGTGAAAGTGCCGTTCCAAACAGCATAACATTTTGTCCGAAAATCAAATACCTCTGACGTGATACAAGTTGTAGGCGAAAGAAAGTTATGCCTATAAGGGATTACTCTTTACTTGCTCATTATCGTCTACTTTTCAATGAACGCCGGTTCTAATTCATCCAACTTCTTACAGTATTTAAACGCTAAGTTTTATTTTACCGGAGTGAACATTATTTCTTTTTTCACCCCGTCATTTGAATCCTGTCAGGTTCATAATATAATCAACTTCCACAGGACGAGAGCCACAACTTGCAGTACTTTGGAGCAATTTATTTGTGACCTTTTTTTGGCCACGTTCATATAACAGAACGAACTTTCATCAAGGAAAAAAGCTCAGAAATTTAGCCGTATACTACGTTAAGTTACTCCAGGTATTTAGTACTAGGCAACCAGGCATAGCTTGACATGCTTTGACGTAATATCTAATTGTCTCTATCTACTGAGTAACTTATGTTTGTCTGAAGCGCTAGAAGTGCTTGTTTATATTCACGTACCTGTATTATGTGGATGGCAATTACGTATCTGTACGTGTCATATTTTTAAGACCTTTTCGCGTCGAGATTCATGAGCACACGCGTGGCCTTCAAACCAATTATGTCAAATTTTTTTGACTATCTTTAATAATTTTTAACCGAATATGAATACTAGTTTACATCCTACTCATTCATGTAGTTACGATTGCTCCCCATTAGCACATTTTACAATCAATTCCGAACTAAAACCTAAGCATACGGACTTTAAGGTTTAATAGGTGAGTGAATGTCCCATAAAACTAAACAAATACTTTAGCAGTAAAGTCCGGACTTCATAATGCATCATTTCCAGATTCTATAGAATGAAGTACATTTTACTAAGACGAATAGTATATTACCAAAGTCGAGCATAACTACCCTTATCTTCGGCCAGTTTCCGCTCCTCCAAAACACAGCTGTAACTACAATATACAAATAAATCCAGCTTAAGACTAGGGACCAAAAGTAATCCACTAAAAATAAGACGCAATGGAATTATTACTGATCTTCGTACAAAACAACCGCCAAAATTTAGCAAAACGCGTTGCTGGCGCTCTATTCCCCTTGTCTATATTCTGCCTATATTTCGAAAATGCGCAGATTATTACCGCATACAACATATATAAATATATATATATTTGCGAAATGTATCTGAGCCACTATACTCAATATTTCTCAATGGAAAAGAAAAATATTAGAAAAAAGAAACAGTGTATGCCAAGAGCGGGATACAAATAACTTGGCGCATTATGGTGCGAACTCGCTCATATAAAAGCACAGGTTTAACATAAAAAATTATTACTTCCGATAGAATAAAGCATTCAATGAAATGCAAACGGACGCAAGCGATGATTTTCTATAAGTCTGTAAGTTTGTTCTCAATCGCGAATAGCATGGCCCGTAAAGCGCCATTGCTTTCAATACCTGAACTGCATAGACCCTTGTAGTACACGGCTTTTTTCGGCAGAGGCGTACTTCGTAGAATATCTTGATACTCGCCTAGCTGTTTAAATACTTGCGTAATCTAGTTTATATTTGGCTTACTAAATAAGAAACGACGACAATGTTTTTTTATGTTACATGTAATTTTATTCACGTAAATTATGCAGTATTTATGCTTTGATGGGATTTGAAGCAACGGCGCCTGGTTTTTCTTCATATGTGGCGCACAATAACGCTGCTTCATTTAACGCAGCAGATTATCGTAGGTACAATGCTAATCCTTATTGCAATTTTCTTACTACGCTAACGAGGTATACAGCAAAATTTGCCCAGCTTAAAAGTATACGAGACATCTATCAACTTTAACTCAAACGCTACAAGGAAATAAAAAAATATTTTCTCGATTTGGGTCAAATTTAATGAGCCTTAATCAGGCCATTTTACGCTTTCCCATTTTTGCGCTAATAACCAAGAAATCATGCAATGCAAAGGTTTTTTTGTGGATGACAAGGCAAAAGCAAGTGCTCTGATATAAAATAAACTCAGACAAGTGTATAATTCAGGCTCATTAATCAACATCATAAAGCGAAAACAAATCAGCTATTAAAATTCCTTACTGACTTTATTAAAGAAATATAAAATTGGGTCACGCTGTTCGAATGTATTATACTAGGCTGGATGGCCAGAATTTGTTGGAAGAATATAATGACTCGCTTGAACAGATAAAACTTTCCACACCAGGCCAGGTTTGCTTGACTCTGGTTTTCGCTATGATTTTAAAATCAGATTAATGTAATATCAAAATGTACATGCTAATAAGCACACGTGTGCTCTGGTACAAACAATTAATGCTAGAGAAGTGTCTTGTGTAGAACTTCTTGTCTCATAAAAAAAAACAGATAAAAATCAATTACACGGCTTTCCGTTCTTTGAACTTCAGCGATGCCTTGGTATGTAGAAAAGCATACCAAAGGTAAGCCGTACTTGGTATAGGCTATTAAGATTAAATTGGACCGTTATATAAGTATTTATTGTATAAAATTTGTTGAAAATAATAAGTATATTTTCTCTCGTAACAGAAATAAAATTATGCCCCTGCTGCAACTCCGCACCCAAAATATCTAACTTTTGATGACCACCAGTTAAAGTAGGGAAATTTTTTGTAGTTGAGAGTGATTCAAGTACTCGAGGCGAATCATTTATGCTTGTATGATATATACAACGTTCCCACAGTGGTTAATCACCTTTGACATAATAAACTTATATTGCAAATTACAAGGATTCGTTAAAAGCAATACGCACGGAAGTTATAAAATGGCGAAACGTTAAATAGACCTTGCCTGACGGGATGTTCAGGCAGGTAAAACGTGTAAAAGGTCAAGCGCCTACAGGGAACGCCGCCAAGTTGTAATTGTGTGAAAAATGATACTACGAATTATCATATTTGTATTATGTTTTCTTTTTAACAAAAGAGCAGTTTCTTAGTTTTTCAATACAACATAAGACTTATTAAATTTACTCTGATTTTACACATTTTATACGTTTTCGCTTCATATATATATACACTCAGAATATAAAATTAACATGAAATTAATATTTGTGTGAATAATTTTCCGTTTAGAACTCTTGCAACAGATTTCGATAACTGTTACTTTTGAGTAGCCAATACAGTAAAGACCAGTAAAATCTCAAAAACTGATTTAACTTCCTCTTAGATAATTTAAGATTAACTATAAATGAATAGGATATTAAAGATAACCTTCTGCTAGCCAAAAAAAGTAACCTTGGTCACTCTACACAAAGCAAACACCATTATTTAGACGAAAGAAAATAATTGTGTAATGATGAATTACACGTGATAACTATCTAGTGATAGTTAGTATGAATAAAAACATACTACTACTGTACGAAACATGGGAATAAGATAACAAGCCAATATTTGGGAAGAAGGCGTTCTTTCGAGAGGTCAAGAAGAATGGTATAAATAAGTGCATAATGAAATTCTGAAGTAACTTGTAGAAATATACATCGGAAGATAAGAAAGAACCGCGTTTTTTTATATACATTAACTCTATAACCCTATAAAGCCCTATCATAGTCACCCATAACATTAAAAAACTCGTCATGGATAACGAACACAAAAGCATGCGTCTAACAGAAGCATATAATGTAAATAATCTAGTAGGCTTTATAAGTAATAGTATATTTGCATCAACCAGGTAGTTTTGCAAGTAGAGTTTTGTTCTTCACATGTAAGACATCTGCCACGAAAACTTAAGTGAAGGAAAAACTATTATAACAACATCTGTAGCTGGAGATGCTAACTTTACTTCTTATTAGACGAACTCTATTATGTACATACAATACGACCACCTTGCTTGAATATTTACGAACAAGTGTAACAACCTAAAAGGGCGGTACTTTATAAAAAGAATAGAAAAATTTTACAGATGATGCTCAAAATAATTAAGTCGCGCGCAAAAAAGAACACCGTAAGCGCGATGCATGTTTCGTGTTATCGTTGTTGCTATGATTATTTATGCTTGTATATATATCATGTGGCTGTTACTACACAAACACTGCGGGATATTGTGACTATAAGAGCTAGTAATACCAATATATTATATATATAGCAATATTCGTATGATAGCATCCACATAATATTTACATGTAAATATATACTAAAAAATGGCATGTTACTAAATAAAAAACATAATTTATACATGATGTCATATGTATGAGAGAAATTCACCTTTTGAACACTACTATTGGTGTGAGGTGAATATATAGTATTGGGTACAATCGTCACTGAGACTATTTTCAGAGTTGAATATCTAAGACTGAAAACTTGCTCACCTGGACCGACTTCTATTTCGTTTACGATCCCTACTGCGGCTTCTTTTGCGCCCGTCTGAGTGTTGCTGTTGCTCCTGGTTTCCTAGACTCCCCATCGCTGCGTCGCCACCTCCAAGCTGCATGTTGTACTGTGAAGAGTCTGTGTTTTGGAAGTTAGACTCGGTTGAAGGAAATGCTCCTCCATAGCCACCGAATCCTTGAGGCATTTGTCCTAGCATAGGTCCGCCAAGGCTCATAGGACCGCCACTACTCAATCCCATGGGTCCGACCATATTTATTGAAGAAGGGCCTTGATTTAGACCACCAGAAGTTGGCACGAGGTTGGGATCACGCTCGACAAGGGTTTGTGGGGGCGGACCGCCCGCTGCTGTTATGTACGAAGGCCGTAGTAACGAACTCCCTCCACCACCACCGGACGATATTGATGGCCGGGGACCCATAAAACGGGGATTGCCAAGTGGTGTAGTGTTCGCTCCGGTCGCCATGTCGGCCAAATACAAGACGAGTTTCGAAACTGTTCACTGGTTGAAGAACCACTCACTTGGTATTCACTGTTTCGTTTTCAGCAATTACACTTTTTAGTTACAGCTTGCTCTGGGGGCCGCAAACAGTGGCCTGTTTGTGTTCCTTCTGCTTACATTGACGCCCGGCCTATGTGGTTGAAGCGCGCTGCGGATACAATACGCACTCAATATCCGCCGGCACGATTGGTGTCGTCGGTCTGCCTCGACGCGTCTGCACTCACTTAAATCAATCTACTATTGCTATTCTCCTAGACATTGTCTTGCCAAAGAGGCTTGCCTGTAACTTTTCTCGCACGATCGAAATTATCCAAGAATCCCAAGCCAGGTTCATATGCTGCCGCAATCCAAAACGCGGCCGCTTCTAACTACAAACCTATACCGATACAACTCCTAATACCCACCACCAAACAACACACCACCGAGGGAAGAGATTGTGGGACACGCGGAGCGCGCCGAGCGACAGCACCGCCACCAGCCTAAGCCAAAACAAGAACCCTGGGATGAACGCATTTTTCTTCAAATTCAAATATTTTTGGCGGAAACACGTTACTTAATATGAAATTGAAAATATAGCGTGATCATGGTTTATTAAACTAATTTATATAATCGAAACACCTTCTATTGTTACTAGCCACAAAGAAAACCATTTCGATGAGGTACTTGGATGTAAATTGTGTTACACGCATAGTACAGTGACAAAAAGGCCACTATCAAGTAAATGTGGCAAAACGGAGTGTCCGGAATGTAACCAATGAGGCTGTCGTCCATAACTTACATTCGACCATTATAGGTCAAATATATCAAAATACAATCATCGTAGTGATAAAAAATAATTAGCATTTGCTCTCGGAATAGCGCATTTACTAAAACATTAGTCACATATGGAAACGATATTCCTGATTAAACCAGGTGGTTAAAATCATGTTTCGAGACACAACTATAGGAGTTTGTGTTTAAGATACATGTAAGTTGTTTTTCCTTCTTTTATTTTAGCCAATATTTTTCTAGATAATTTTTACCAGTTGCTGAGACACCAAACTTTGCAGCATGAAGCAAAAGATTCAAACCAGCAACAATCAGTGAACAGTTTTTTCTTCTATATATATGGTTTTTATACGATACCATAGTTTCTTATTTTATTTGTGAGGTGCGTGTTTAAAATAGATATTAGAATATAGAAGATGTATATATATATCTTCTAAATTTTAAAAAAATTGACGAAGGTAGATACATGTAAATATCGAAAAACTGCTGCCAATGTCCCTTTGAAAAATTATATTTTTCTAACCGAAAGTTTTGACAAATTTATTTTGTATTTATAATCTGTCTCATAACAACAAATTTGTCAAACCTTTCTATTGAGAAAATATACTTTTGAAAAGACATTTCCCTCAGTACTTGAATAAAAACACCACTAATATCAATGCGAAAAATTGTATATATATATATATATATATACCGCATTTGTACCGTACTGTTATATATATATGTATAGAACAGTGCGGTACCAATGTAGACTTATATTTGGGAATTATGTATATCCAAAGTTAAGAAAATAACAGAGTTGCAATTACAAATCAGGCTTAACGTAAGGCAATCCGACTAAACTGGGATTAAAAGTTTAATTATGTCGTGTTTTATCCTAAGTCTATCTTTGTCTAACCACATATATATATATGTATATATATAGTTAGATATAAATCGCTGCATTTTTGAGTTGTAATGTAGTGATTCTATCGAACACCTTTTGTGAGTCTTAAGGGTGAAAAATTTTATCCCTTTTTTTAATTTTGAATAGTTGTTCTTACTAACTTCACTTTTAATATTTATGATAAGGAATGCTTACTCAGTCAAAAAATATATTTCATTTGGTCTTGAACTACGTTTCTCTTCATATTATGTACGAATATAGGTAAATTAGCAGTGTGATTAAATACTTTTTAGAATCCCTGAACGCATAAGTATTCTCACCGAGTTGCCCTGAAGAGAAAGTGGGTATACCACTGATTCGCCACAAGCAATTACTAGAATTTGCCGTTAGGTAAAGGTTGTACAGAGTTAAAATCAATCTAAACTTTTCAACGAAATTGTATTCATGAGGAGCATTAGCTAACGCACACAACTAATACATTAATAGGTTTTTCGACGCCTCAGCGTCTATCATTTTATGTTAGTTGTCATTTCAATGTTTCGGGATTAACGTTTGACTTTACTGTTATCCTTCAGCGTCATCGCTACTTCAGGCTGTTGATGGCTTTTTTCAGCACAGAACAAACCGCGTGGCTGTCTCAAACATAGACCAGCTAACGTGTCCCTAAGTTTAGTGGACAAAAATGTCTCCACCGCACCACTGCGAAAACCATTAGATATTGTGTATCTAAAAAATAAAAGAAATGCGGTTTAACAAGCGTTTCATATCAAGCAACCCGTCTGTTTCAGAGACGGGACGTGCCGTCAAACACAGGCTGCGCCAAGTAAATAAAGGTTGATTGACAAGTATATTTTTCTCTACAGTTTAGCCACAATCTCAGCTCATAGACAGCGATATAATCCACAATGACAGTCGCCCACGCGGCATTCAAACAAGCGCTATTTGGATCAATTGGGCAACTAGAACATTCATTTGAACTGATACTTTGGGCGTTAGACTCCCAGGTCCTATGCCGAAACAATCTGCCCCCTTTAGAAGTTTTTACCATTGTAATAGTATTTGATTACCTACGTGCCCAGTGCGATATTCTAATGTTTTCTTTCGCTCACTCCCACATAGTATATCTGAATACCAAATTACAAAAATCGACGGAATCGTCTGATGTGCCGCATCCGTATATGTGCCAGTGCCATACTGAGCTCCCTCTATCATTGCTGTGGACGCGCGCTCTATTTGTCGTGAGGTCTACATAAGCTTTATACTATACAAGGATCAATTTTTTTTACCTACTACTGAGCTAAACATATAGATGTGCGTAGTCGGCGCTTTCTATTTAGTTCTGTTTTTGAATACCACTGTCAAAAATGTAGAGGAATATTTATTGGCGAAAGGATGTCTATTTAAGGGAAAAAAATTAATGTTCTTAGCGCAGTGCAAAACAAGCTCAGATGGTCAGCTCATGGGACACCAGAATTACATAACGCAGCATGAAACCTATCGTGGTCAATTAATTATAATGTTATTACAGAAATCGCACCACCTTCCAAAGAAATGCCTTGCCAGTATGTTCAATGCGTGTATTTGGGTTGGCGTTACATTTATTTCTCAGGCTTCATAGCAGATTTTGGAACTTTAGTAAATGTATATAACTGGAGTAGAGTTTTAGTATGGGAGCATTAATGATTTAAATAATAGACCACCAGTACATGTACTTCTTCAGGTCTAGTAAAAGAACAACACAAAAGAGTTTTGACTGAATAAAGATTTGTTCATTTGCCCTTAATTACACGGGAAGATAGTGGATAAATAAAAGGTCTTGTATTAAACAATTAGATATGCATCATTTACTCCTCATGGTACCCATGGAAGGTTTTCAAACAGACTATAAAATAGAATTCTTCAAACCTACTTGTTGTTAAGCGGTACAACCTGCTATTCAAAATCTCGCATGATTGTTATTTTGCCGCGAAATCCTGCGCGGCTTAAACCAATTTTGTTTACATGGTATTAGCAAAAGACTGTTTAAAAAGGCCGGCTTGCCACTCGAACCGCCCGGACTTCGTACTAAGGGGCGAGAGACAACGATTGGAGGCGCATGCTCCTTTCCCGGACTGTCCTCGTAGCAGTCGTATGCAGCAGCAGTCGGCGCAGTACTGATACAACGAGGCAATAGATAGTCTACAGGACATAAAGGTGTTAGAGGAAACGTCTACGCGCCTGGTGAATATTGCATGGTGCAGAAGGAAAGGTCAACATAATCAGTATTACGGCTTAGGGAGTACTGTGTAGTAGAGGACCAATACACGTCGCCTGACAAGATCAAGTAGAATTACAGACTGATACATCGTACAGTAAAAGAATAATCATAGCAGACACAACGTTCAACGCGATACCTTCTTATTGGATATCGCTTAGATATTGTGTAAAATTTTCTGTCTGACATTGATCAATCACTAATTGGTGTTGTTTTACTGTGGCTGACTTTGTTTCGAAATGTCATCATTCAACCGTGCGATGCCTCCACTATAATTGTTCGCAATTACAGGTACGTTCAACGTAAACAAACTGCGTAGACACAGGCTGTTGGCACTTTAAGTTGCTTAGGATACATACCCAGAGGTAAATAAAGATATTCTAACAAAGTTTATTAATAACATACGACTGCTGTTTTGCTCAACTGTCACTGGTCCCTTCCAGCTGACTTGTCAGATTCGTGGGGCAATAAGGGGGCTGTGCTCACAGGAAACATCTGTTTTGCCTGGGTGTACGCTGATGCGTCAACAATTATGTGATAACGCGCAGTTTTTAGAAAACAGTCTGTCATAACAGGCAGATACACACTAATGCATTATATTTTGTTGAAAAATAGAAAAAATAACAATAAACAAATAGTGTTTTACTTAGGTTTAACAAAATGAGTAAGAAAGGTGGGGAGCCCCCTGGCATGTCAGCGAGCTACACATTCAAAATTGCGTGGATATATTATATTATTATATATTCGCTGGAGAAGCCCCATTCTGAGAACTTCGTAGTTTTTTTTAGTACTATAGGATGATTTTGAAGTTCATGTCTAGTACAGCTCATGAATATTAGTTCGAAGTAGACGAATCTAGCTACACTGAACTTCGCTGTTCGTCGTATACAGCATCTATGTCAAAAAAACACATACGTGAACCGAAAAATGCAACGAAAGTATGCGGTAGAATGTTATTTTTTCAGCATCGTGAGTAAATAGTGATTTCCAAAATATATATTGTTCGATTAAATATGGTCGAGTGGGATGAGCTATGTAGTCTAAATTATGCTATATATATTTAACTGGGTATGCAATACATATTTATTTACTGTGACAATCCACCCTTATACAAGTAGAAAATCTATGTGCTAACTAGAAAACTTCTTGAGCTTTGTGTTTATTATCTTTATTATACTATTTCCAGAACTATCGGTATCCAGTTGTTTAAAGGTAAAATCAATTTTTCTATGAGCACTTCTATTTTTCTTCGAGAAGCCAACGATTGCGATGGATGATTGGGATCCATTAAATATTATTACATAACCAGCGGATAATAAAATTGAAACTGTAGCAAGCTTTCAGCTTGCAAATGCAGGCTGTAGAATATAGATGGCTCGTTTGCCTTCTATTTAGTTCAACGACCAGTAGATATTACACCACACTTAATCATTCACCATATGTTTTGTATATTTTTGCCCTTATTATTAATATTGTGATTATTTTAAGTTTATTTTTTCTTGCTTGCCTTTGAATTTTTCACTAATGGTCAAACTAAAAGGCTTATTTTGCTCAAGAAGTTATAATCGATTTTTTTCTTCAGAACACACTATTTTACACTGATTTTGAACTTTTAAGATAACAAGTGAGAAATAGGTGCATTCTTCAATGCCAATTTTTTGCTCAAGCTAGAAAGTTATGAAAGCAACTCAAAATTTATGTTACTCATGCGGTATAGACTCTGCAGTTAAGAGATATAGGTTCGCCTGACGATTATTAGCAGTTATCTTTTAAAAAGTGGCTTGAGACATATCTTGCTTTTTAAAAATAGGTGAAATGCGTTTTCAGTTAAAGCAATATATCCCACGTATGTCAAGTGGAAAGGGCTTAAAACGGAATAAGAAATTAGGAGCTAGATAAAAGCAGACGCATAGCTGAAAAAGCATATTATTCTTTTGGTTTCTTCTACCAAAGAGTCGTTTTTTAAACTGTGAAGATAGTCTTGCATAAATTTTGAAATCTAAAAATTAAGATATAAAACACCTATACAAGTCACTGTGTATAATGTCCGAGGAGCAACGACGAACCAAAACTAAAACAGGATTTTGCCTTCATAGATTTTAAGCGGGTTGAACCCAATGGTGGATACCCGTTCGCTCAATCAAAAAAGTAATTGAGACATGACAATGAGATCCATCGTTGACAATGACGTCGAAATCAGACTGTGTGTTTTCAATTACTGTACGAACGATATATGTGTCTTTCGAGGAACTCGAAATAGAAAGCTGCATTATTGGTTTCACTTTCGGCGAGTATTATATAGTAGCATATGCCCCTGATGTCCATTGCAGGTACTACTAATTATCCTATGTCCGAACTTAGAACTCTATTTCTCTTTAGGACCGCGTCATTCTCTCATTTAATGCCTCTCCAGCTGACGCTAGAGACTGAATTAAGCCTCGTCTGTAAGGATCCACCAGGCGGCTTATTTGTTCAAGTCCCATATATTGCACATGGCTTACATCATATGAATTTTTATCTGGCCTTGAGTCAGTTCACGGGGAACTCATCTTTGCTTCGAATTGTCGGTAATTGGATTATAATTTTGTACCACGTTACATGATTGCCAGTTCTGGCCGACATAATCTCAGACTGCGCTTTGTTTTCGTGAGCTCCATTTTCATGAAAAGTCTTTTCCATTGCGGTAATACGTTCGTCCTTCGGGTCCCGACATCTAGACATCTCCTCGCTGATCTTCAGCCCTTCAGTCTCCGTTCTTGAATGTACGCATCATTCACGTACTGTGTTTTCGTTTAACGTCTCCTTGCCTAGTGTTTCCACTATTTTGCGATAATTTCGATAGCTCCTACGAGGAAAAAATTTGAGTACCTAAGGTTTACAATTGAAAGATGCATTTTTGAAGTATTTTCTCCTCAAATAAACTGTATCGGCTTTTACTAAGAGATGCTAGTGTTTGCCAGCTGAATTTTATGTGCTAGTGGCGCGTATTTTAAGCAATCTCGTTTAAAAATCCGCTGGATGATCTTGTAACAGTCATTTATATAATGCCTGGCACATACGGTAAATGACAAATCGCCTCGAACTATAATGGCTGCATCTTTGCCGTAATTTCTGCTCTGCGAGGCCATGCGTTATCGTGCAGTGGGGTGATTCACTGATCTGTTTATTACTACTCATATTCTTTTTCCGTTATCTTTCAATTGATGCGTTTCTGTCGTAATGGACGATCTAGAAGCTGTAGTGAATACCACCTAGATTTGGCCATTAAATAGACACCAGACATTTCTACAGCTATACGTTTGTTTTAGGATAATGTTCTGCCAGTTCAGTCGTATTCACCCAGAGACGTAACCGTCTGGGCATCGTAGAGAATACATGCTTCATAACAATTTATAGATCTGTGCAAGAATGAGTTTTGTAACGTGAGAAGCTATTAATTTGACCGAACTGAGCAAGCATTGTATTTTAACATCCAAGCATAAGTGTTACTGGCGCTGAACTTACGACACAGTTCTCAACTTTTCAATATTGGAAAGGAAACGTTTGTTTTCTTTAATTTAAAATATTAATTTTCTTCCGAGAATTTCTTAAACTAACGACCTAACTGATCTAGTAGTAGCACCTTCCTTGAATAGTGTTTTTTTATTGCGTCATCTGGAAACATGGTTAGATAGAGACCTTATATACATACAACAGACGTATAAATTATAATCACAATGAACGTATACAGGTTCCGGCCTTCAGTATGTAGTACTTTCTTGCCAAATGGTCAAACCCCAATCTCTAATGGTCGAAGCTCGTTATTGCTGCAAACCCTATAGTACAGGTAGGCATAAAGAACTATGGATAATTTAAATCTGCTGTTTGGAGGGAAGTCTGCGGCAGGGTGAAGAGACCAAATCCTTAGCCTTCGAGAGAAACCACCTCTCTAGATAGTCGGAATAAATGGTATCCCTAGTCACGTACCAACAATAGTCATAAGAACAGGTGGTGCTACGCATGACGCCGCATTTATCTGGCTCGGGCCTAACATTGTGCGAATTAGGAAGTCGTAATGAGAACACTAAACGTTTTCAGACAGAATTTGCACAAACGATTTTTTCCAGAGAAGGCTCACCGGAAAAATTTTTCAAGCGAGTGAAGACAGGAAAGGAGACGTTTGAGGGATTCCTTAAGGCCTTAATTCCTTAATTCGTAGACGGGCAGGAATTCGATTACGAGTATGTAATCATCCTGTCCAATATTTATCTTCTTTGTGAACTTCATCGCGACAGCTGTTCCGCTGGTCCAGGGATTATATTCCCAACGGCTGACGGAACAAGACTGCGTCTGCTTAACGTAATCCTTTGGATCATAGTATTGACGCGGCTTGGTATCGGTGTCGGGGATGAAGTCATCTCCAGATCACCACCGTCGTACTCTAGGATGTGTCAGCGCTGATGTTCCGGATTCTTGGAACGCCAAAGTGTGGCCTTTACTCCGGGCTGCCGAACGAGCTTCCTGGCTTGACGAAATTCGACAACAATCGCTCTTGCTCGGAACATGATAACACATCCGTCATTGTTAGCAACTTAGCCTACGATGTTATCCTCGGACGGTCGTTCCTCGGACATGATTTTGTTTTGGCTGGAGATGAATCAGATGGAGTGTCACGCTGCGTATCGAGTCGTTTTATCCTGTCTTGGGCAGTGAAGACGCGTTGGCTCGTCATTAAAAAGGATAGTTGCGACCGCTGAATCACCGTAGTCTTCGGTTCAAATGGATGGGGTTCTGTATGCAATTTTTACGAGTCTTTGACTCCGTATAGCGTGTTGACTAGTGATTCGAGAGGGGCGTGTGAAATTCACCCAATCTCGAACAACGGCTTTTCTATGCGAAAGGGAGTACGAGCTTAGGCCGAATTCAGCACCGTGTACCGCTCACTAAGCATCCCCAATATCATTTATCAAAAGATTAGTCTGATAGTAAGCATCCTACGCTTACGAAGTGATTTAAGGGGCCAAAGAAGCTACTCTATTAGTCATACTGTACCCACCGGTAACCATCCCACCCCAAACGCACATCCGTGGCGATTACAGAGAGAGACAGACGCCTTTCCAGGTTTTCCACCTTGGATCTGAGAAGTGCTTCTTACCAGACGCCCAGACACCCGGCGATAAAGGGAAAACCGTATTCTGTGTGGTAATAATTAGTTCAGTGATACATTCCGGATCGACCGATGCTCTGCGGCTCGTTTCGAGAATTGATAAACTAGGTACTCGTAAGTAAGGGTAAGTTGCACCGAATGGCTCTAGTCCATCTTGGTGACATTATCATATTCTCTCTGCACCATTTCCGGGAAGTACTTTGTCCTTAGTGTTGTCGATCTGCACGTTACAACGTCGAAATGTTCGTTACAATGTCTCAATGCGGGAAGTCGTATGCCTCCGACATAGTGTTTTCTCGTATCTCCCTTGATAAAGACAAAATTGCCACGATAAATGCTCTAGCGCGACCCGTTGTTGTTTGTCAGTTTTGGAACTGGGGTTTTATTATCGTGGGTTCGCTATCTTGAAATCGGGCGTTCGTTTTACGAAGACTGCACATCACCAAGGCGCACTTCTGGCTTTAAAAGGGTCTCTGAAGGGTGGACCGATTTTTAACACTTCCAAATATAGACCGATGCGAGCGACGCTAGCCTAAGGGCGGTATTTTTCTAGTTTCTTGGAGGTTTAACGCCCGGCAACTAGACACCTTTCGAGTAGGGGATGAAAGGGCCTTCGTAGGAAACGGAGTGTTTGCATGTTGCTTAGGTGGTCAAGAAATCAACCATATCTATGTAGCCGGCAGTTCGTAATTCGTGGTTTTTATATACAGTAGTGCGGTGAGGTACCTGCAGAACAAACGGACATTCTGTCCATGCTGGGTTAATGGGACCCGGAACTATTGAAATATGATTTATACGTGCAACACCCTAGAGGCACAGGAAAGTGTAACATTTATGCGCTGTTGCTGTAATTGTAATGACACTCTGAAAAGACGTTGAAAGCGGCGGTGCTGACCTCGCATAGATTTCGGCACATAATTGGCAAACCCGCGTTGTGTCCAGTAGTAACCATGCTCCGAAGAAATGCTCAGGCAGTTTAGCAATCAGAGGGTAAAAGGACCAGCCGATTTGCGCCACGAAAAGCCAAATTGTATCGTTTCGGGCAGCAGGGTTTCCGGTAGATCTTTCCGTGATCAGCCGAGCTCACGATATTCGCTCTTTGTTGCGAAGACCGTTTGGGTTTAGCAAAAACCGCCTGCTGGCTGACGTCTCGCCATCATACCCGCAATTGTGATATCTTTGAGCGGAGAAAGTCGAGCCGCGAACGTTGTTTGTCATAGACGCTAGTAGAACCGTTGACGCACCATTCAAAAATAGATCCAGTTGTTATGGAACCGGGCCATGCCAGGGAAGGCGCCTCTTCGTGTTAGTATAAACTAGTGCACCCGTTTGGTTCACTTCTTCCCAGGTTACCCCGTAACAGTCTATGTCATGGTAGAGCCCTTCAGGAGCGATACGGGACCATCGACGTGGGCGTTATGAATAATCCCAATTACTTGGGATTGGTGCGTGCAGCAGTATTACGTTCCAATGCTCACCATATGAAAATCATCGTGGCCTGCCCGTATGTGAATGGACTAGTAGAGCGGACGGTCCACTCGGACGCAAAGCGCTTCTCTGCGCGTCGGCTGGAACCGCCCAGTTCTTCCATTCCCGAAGTACTTTCGACCGGTTGCCTTCACAGCGAATACTACGGCCCTAAGCCCAATGGCACAAATTACTGCTTAAGTTCAAAACCCTATTGTCAAAGAACCGCCGGAGGCGCAATCATCGCAAGAGTCCGCTCGTTAGGTTTTTAAGCTGCTGACGAAAGGCCCATGCCGGACTTCGCTAGCGGAAGCGAGTTTCCGAAAAGACAACCGCCTTGAGCGCTTCAGCCCGAGGAGTCCATTTTATTACATCTGTTACGCCAAGGTCGCCACATGTACCGGACACTGCCGCTCAACTTCAAGGCAGGGTACTGTCGGGGAGTGAGTTGCGTAATAATGGGCGTAGGATGGAAACATCTTCCCGGTAGCATGGACGAGTAAATAAACGCTTAAATTATATAAGAACAATAAACGTGTTTCCGGCTTTGGTCGGCTATATATATACTTATTATTATTACAATGATGATTATTATTAATAACTTAATATACTTATTATTGCTTTACAGGCTCCGTCATGGGCTGAAGTTTTTACACAAGGATGGGCAGTCGCCTTGCGGAGTGGCTTCTGTTATTAACATCGTTGTCGCTGGTTCACTTTTTGTTCAGTTCGGTTGTTGCGTTATCGGACATCAGCGATGACGATTTTTGCGTTAATATTTCGTGTGCATGTTCCAATAAAGTTGTTGAATGCACATCAACGGTCAAGGCGCAGAGGGCGCTAGACACAATACGAAGATTTCGAAATGGAATGTTGCGGAAGTTCTCGTGCACTAAATGTCAATTAGAAGGCACCATGCGACTGGACATCAATGCAGTAGACGTGAATATCTCGAGGAATCTAATTGAAGACATATTAGCAGGGTCGGAGCACATATTCAATCTTGATGTCGCCCACAACTTGCTAAGTTCCTTTAGATTTACTGAGTATTTCCCTCATCTACGGCGGCTATATATTGCTGGGAACCGTTTGACTGAGTTATCGTCGCTTAGACTTAGTTCTCTCGGGGTCCTTGACGTAAGCAATAATCAAATCAGTAAAGTAGACGATGATACTTTTGTCTATTTAACAAAGCTGACCGTGCTGAATTTGAATGGTAATCTGTTGCAACACTTGCGCCATGGTTGGTTCACTCCGCTCCGGAATCTTCAACTACTTCAGATTGCACGTAACCGTCTAATGGAGCTTAATAATCTTGTTTTCATGCCTCTTTCCGAATTACGCTATGTTGATCTCTCGTTCAATCGGCTTGCCCATGTCGGTTTACTGAGCTTTCAAGCAATAAGCTCTCTTGAACAGCTGAATTTGTCACACAATAATCTTACATACCTTCCGAAAGGTTTTTGCAAATGGTTTCATTCCCTGCAACTTCTAGACATATCTGGCAACCCTCTTACTTCATTAGCCAATTTTCAGTCATTGCCATCCACGGCGAATTTTTCTCTGAAGGCTCGAGATCTATTGTATTTGAAAACAATTCATGCCAATGACACGTTGGGTTTAGAAGGAATGGTTTCACTCGATTTGGCGGGAAGCGCACTCGAATCCATTGAATTACCTTCATTCGAAGGTCTAGCTCGCTTACGAAACCTCAATTTGAGTCATTGTAAATTGAGCTCTTTGCCTCGTGGATTATTTTTGCCTCTCGTCAATCTAGAAAGAATTAGCCTACAGGGAAATTTCTGGCACTGCGATTGTGGTCTAAAATGGCTACTTTACTTTTTACTCCATCGGCAGCAGCTTCAGGTGGAGCTTCCAGGCTTAACCTTATGCTCGAGCGAAACCTCGGATGGCAGTCGCTCTAGGTTACTCCATGAGGAGCGACTCCTTGACTTCCTAGACCGAAAAGTACATTGCCAAAATGCAACCATAGTAAACTATACCAGAAAAGCCCACCATCGGCTTGGTTCAACTGCCGTTTTCTTTTGTCAAGAACAAGGAGTACCTGCTCCTACGCTAAGTTGGCACTCAAAATCTCTAGGACCCTTAAACACGTGTGGAGCTAGCTGCTTTAGAGAGACACGTAAGTCAGGCGAAAACTGTAGCGGATGTCAAATGGCCCGGTGGGCATGTCATAGACAGGAAGTGGGTTGTGACAGTGATGAGTGTCGCCGTTTCGCGCAGGAATGCCTTCGTCTCGTAGAATTAGAGGAAGCTGATGGCACCTGCTGTTCTGCAATAAACCTGAAAACAGCTGTGGAGACATGCCTCACTGGCGATCAGTTTGCAATTGACACTGGTCCATGTCTTCGTGAAGTTACTGCTCTCTCCCTATCAAATTCATCTGGACAGAATAACAGCGGAGCAGTAGAAAAACTTGACGAGTGCGTCACTAAAAAGGTCAACTGTGTTAACGAATGCGTTGAAGACAGGTGTGAAGAACAGCACGAGCAACAGTGCGTAGAAACTGCCGTTACGTGCGTTTTAGAGGTCCTTTCTTATGATACTTCAAGTTTCAATGTGGAGCAACGATGTCGGAGCCGTATATGCGCACGCGGTCGAAAACTCTATATATCAAAAGTTTCTCGTGGCGATTCAGGGTATGTACGTAACTAAATTGATACTCACCAACTTCTCTTAAATCCAAAACTAAGTAGCATTTTGCAAGACGCCCGAGTACCGTCAGAAAAGGTAACTCAAGCTGTTTTTTACCTTGAACATTCGCGTACCAGCAAGGCTATCTTGAGAGATTTTGACGGCGGGACTTTAATTAAGAGAATGACTTTTATACATCCCATAGTTCTTGTCCAGTTATCTCATTATCGTTTGAGTATGAATCACTGTCAAGTGAAAACATAACCGCCGCTAGAGATGTAATACGTTCGTAAGACAATTTGTATTTGCAAGAACCTGAAAGTACAGTCCAAAAATTTGATTGATTTAACATTTTGATGCTCATCTGACTATTAAAGAACATATAATGCATAATGTTGAAAAATTTAGCGTTAGAGGTGAAAGCTTATTAAGTTTTTTTTAACCAGACCTAGCAGTGCTTTCATAAATGAGCATTATATTCAATAAAATATTAGATCTACGAATCGGATTTTACCATAGTATGTTAAAAAAGGAATCAAGAAGTTTTCTTGTTATTTACTTGCTGTCGTCAGATACTACATGTGTCGAGCGACAAATGTTTTACAAACCCAAGAGGTAATTATCCACATGACGCTTGACTACGACTTCATGCAAGACGTGAAGATTTTCTCGATTTTAACGGGGCTCGGAGTTGCCATTCTGTTCATCGTCGCTACTCTTATTGGTGAGTAACTTACCTTACTGAATAAGCTGTTTGCCATGGATATTATTGAAATTGGGTTCATAGGAATCATTATAAATGTATGACTATTTGTATAGTATATCCGTTGAAGTATAGTAACTTTTACTCGTTATCATTGTTTTACTACGAAAAGAAGTCGGTATCTTCAAATTCGCACGTCCATATGTAACCTTCGTTCCTTACTGGTCGCCAACTTTTTCACGATGCCATTGACCACGACTCGCAATACTATTTCGATTTGGAGATTTTTTGTTCCTGTCTAGCCTTGACTGACATTGACGAGCGTTTTCGATTCAGAGGACTCAAATATAGCTAGTTCGTTAATTTTCGAACTTGTTAATTCAGATTTGAATGTCATTTTGTCTGTACGGGTCTCTTATATAGCAGCTATCTGACTTCTATGTAGTACTGTTTTATTACATAACCGTTTACATCATTTTTAAATTATTAGTATGATGAGGCTGACAAATCGCATGTACAATGAGTTGGCACTTAGAGGACACGTAAGATTTTAGGCTAAAAAACTTCATTGTTACAGACGTTGCATTGAAATAAGGCTCTGTTGGAGTTTTTTTTTTGTTTAGCTTTAACTATTTTGATTTAATTATTAGTACTACGAAAATTATTTGAGAACATTTCATTTTGCTTATATCCAACAGAAAGTGAAGGATGATTTGGTGATCTCAATGGCGTTTGCAGGTGTGGGGGTGGAGAAAATTTTACAACATTTTGGTCTCAAATGTCCGTGCGATGCAGACGGGCCAATCCGGAGACAAAATATTGTCAAGATTCTCGAGCAAATAGAAGGCTATCGCAGACAGAATTTGGAACGACTTCGTGAAAACTACAACTGGCAGGTTGCCAGAATTAAGGTTAGTTTTAGCTAAGCTTAGGATACTTAACTATGTCGAACTCGCTCGGCAGAGCAATAGAATTTGGTGTAAAGCTTTTCTTCGTGCAGAAGCTAACACACAATATGTCACGTGTTTTACTTCGGCCGGAGCAAGTGCAGGAGAAAGATACATCAGCTGCATACGAAAAATGCAACGGTACTTTGTCAGCACTGACGACATCGAAAAATTGCTGTAGGATTTTTCAGCACGAGAATTTTATAAAATGTACGCTTGGGTAGCTTAAATAGATGCACCGCCGCTGTATACGCGCCTCCAGTGGCCAGTGTTGGGAATGATTAGAATGATACTGAGATATGCAGATTCGTTAGGGGTTATGCTAGAAATTGCGATGTACTTGGTTTTAGGCTTTCATGTCTTTCAAACGAAATGCTTTTTTCTAAAAAAACTGAATAAAATTGTAAATCGAAACAGCAGTATGCCATTCTGGGTAGATTCAAAGACCAGAACTTCAAATCCTGGCGTTTCATTTTTTATGGTTTCCTGTCGATCACAGTGATTAGTCTTTTGTAATGGTTTCACAATCCCGTCTCATGTCCTCTTTACGTTCATTATGATTGCACATAGAATGTTCGGCTTAAAATATAACAGAAATGTCTGCGGGGTAATGGGTAAAGGAGCGATTGTTTTTCCGGTTGATCTTATATAAATAGTAAATACTTCATTATAAGATTCGTAATAATTCAACTTTGATAAGTCGGTTCGTTTTAAAATGTATTCTCCGTATAGAGAGAGAATTACAGGATTGGTTCCATAGAATATGAGCTATCAAAAGTTTCGCTTTTAAAATTTTTCCTAGTTTCCAAGTTTCTGGCTTTAAAAAACAGGTTTTTCATGTTTTTTGAAATAGAAATTAATCTATATTTAGCTGGTGCACCCCTATCAATTATACAAAAAAAAAGATGCACAAACAACATGTGACACTACCGTTAAGAATTACAGTAGCATAGGAAAAAGAACGTGTTTTCTTGATTGTTTTGCTGCAATTCATAATCACTTATGCTTCTTTATGAAATAAGTATAAAGACGCTAATGCTGAGAATTAAATCACTGGGAGCGCAAACACCATTGACATACTCTAAATTCCCAAAGCATATACCCTTATAATCGTGTAATGTATTTGCAAAATGAAGCTTTAAGTGTTACCAACGCCGATACTACTACCGGTGTAATATAAACAAATTATTGGTTTGGAAACCAAAAGGCAGTAGTGCTGGCGACTACAATACGGATAGGTATACACTGATCAATTGCTGTAGTCAGGTTTTGTGGTATGTGCTTTGCTACTAAAGGACTCCTCTTTTATGTAAATTAACTAAATATATAGGAATGAGAATTACGCGTTTGGTTTTTTACGCAGCACTATATGTTATGGTTGTGTTCCGTATGCAATACGGGCAATTTCTAGGCGCGGGGGGGGGGGGGGGGATAAAGGTAATTTCCTTATCTCAGCTTAGGAAAGCTCTGAATGCATAGATAACTTTCAGGAGGTTTCAGGTAATCTCGTAATCAATGTAGGAAAGGGTACAAGGTCCCCGCTCTACAGCCGATAAATAGCTTTCGGTAGAGAGGATTCCAGAAAGTATATCGATGTGAATCGTGAACATGATCACTTGGAAGTAAAAATTAGAGTTATGGATTACTTACGAAACAGGGAAAATACATTAAGCTGTTGTTCAGCTGGATATATATGCTAACTAAATATGCTAGCTGACTTAAAATGCCTCTGCTGAAGATCGACCAGAACCGAATGTACTATTTCCCGTGTTCCTTACAAAGACAATATAATCTCTTTTGGCGTAAAAAAAAATTAACCATCTTTACTCATTTTTGGGAAGTTCTAAACCAACTCTGTGTACCAAGCATGGCACAATCCGAATTGACTCAGGACAAAGAAATGCGATTTCTTCGAGTGCAAATCGACCAAACTTTGTTAAAGCAAGCCTGAAGTACTATTTAAAACGAATTACTTTCGTAAATATTATGCTGCGTCAACTTTTTCTTTAGGAAAATTGCATTCTTCAAATGGACCGCGTGAAAGATTCATATATAGCCGAGCAAACAGGAAAGATCCGTAATTATGGGTCATCACAGATCGGAGCAATTAAGGACAACTACCTAGGACAGGTAAGGAATGAGCGTTCAAACAACACTGGATACAATATCTTTTTCTCATAGACACAGTCGAATACTGCAGGCTTTGCGCAAAATTTTCTTGGACGTCTAAAGCAAGAATATCTAACAGTAAAATCATACAGGACGGAGAAACATTGTGACAAGATAAAAAAGGTTATTTTACTTTTTGAATTAGTTGGCACTGGATTGGTCTTTAGAAATACTGTGAGTAAGCTCCTTGTAATAGGGTTTATAAGATTAATATTGACTAAGGTCGTACTATCTTTTAAATTTTGGAAGCTGCGTACCGCATAAGAGCTTCTCTGCAAACTTTTCTCTCTGACTTGCCTTGTCCGACGATGCGTTGCATGCTATTTATTCCATTGTGCGATCTCTTTCATTAGTTCTTTCGTTGAAGAGAAACTTGAACTAATATTTTAGTCCAAACAACGCTTCTGCTGGTCTTCGGCTGTTTAGCTTTTGGCCTCGCAGTCCAAAAATCGTTTGTGAGGGAGTTCCTTTCCATTAATTCGTAGCGATGGTATGCTCACGTAGTAAGGCAGATTCGTTAAGCTGTTGTTGAGCTAGGCACAATAATGACTAATACAGCCCGTTGACTGGTAACCTTAAATTATGCTAGCTGACCTAAAACGCCTGTCCTAAAGGTTGATCAGATGCGATCAAAACCGAATGTACTATTTCCTGTGATATCACGCATATTGTGATTTTTACGAAGCCAACCTCAAAAAATTACGTGTCTTTAACGATTCAGTTAGCCGCCTAATTAATACTTGTTCCGCTATATTTAGAATTTTCTGCTTGACCGCTTGACACTGGGTTAAACGGAACACACTGTTATATGAAGCGAAATGATTATTGTCGCGCTTGGGACAAAACGCCTTAAACAATATTGAGCTAAATCCGTTGTCTGATGCGACTGTTTCCATGTAACAGCAAGTACATGTTGTTACTGGGCTGGTAAAATCGAGATGTATTTGTATCATAGGTATCTTACCAGGACCATAGCTGCTTTTATCGCGCATCTAAAATTGCGTACTATTCGTAATTTTCCGAATCAAATCTTCGTTGTCATAAAATTTTCTTTCGGTTTCTCTTTAGAGGTGGTAACAACAGATGTAGTAGTTTTCTTGGAAACATTTTCTGTTTAGTTTGTTTTTGTCCGCTTCACATTTACGCTTCCCATGATGTCACGCAAATGTTTTGGTATTTTCCAAAAATTATTAATGGTAAGCTGGCTTAGTAAGTTCTTTCAAGTCTTCTCTTAAGTTATCATTAGCGCATTCATCCGCCTTGACAGGTACAGTAAATACTTACAGCGGAGTATTTCAATTCATTCTGAAAACCAAAAATTGTGATTATAATTACTGCTACAATGACTGTCTCATTTTAACAGTACCGTACAGGTCGGGTCACTTTTTCTTTCCGAAGCTACCGTATAATGCATGGATTCAATGCTGATCGATTGTTATTAGATTATGGAATCTTCATTATGGTTGCCGCATTTGAAAGCTCGATTACTTTATTACGATTACAATGTTTGCATCACTTTAATTTTAAATTCAGGTGCAGCGCGTTCGTGACTACGGCAATGCACAGATGGATTGGCTTCGAGAAAATTATGTATTTCAAAGAAATCGTATCCACAAGTTTTCCAAGCACCAACTGATTCGATTACGCGAAAACTATAAATTGCAACAAAAACATTTGAACAAGATCCTTGAGACGTTGCCAAATCTGGAATCATGCAGGAAGGGTTTTTACAGTGAGACGGATTTGAGGGAACTCAACTTTACTGCTATGCTTGTTCCACCTCCTCCACCCCCTGAGAGTGTACTTGACTTTCCAACTTTCGACGAATTTTCACTTCCCGACGTACAGACAGGCTTTGAAAGTCGTTCGGGAACACTTCTCAGCCCTGAAGGAAGCCTCGTTTCAATGCAGAGCGAAAGACGATCCAGACGAGCCTATCCTACTATTGAGCAGGTTATCCGGGAAAGGTAATAAAAAAATAAAGTGATTTTAAAAAATAAAAATCATCTATATAGTAAAAATCATTCATTTATATATGGCATTTGCGTACATCAGATTTTTTTAGATAGTAGCTAAGCTTATTGGGACTATTACGTACTGAGATGGCACATTGTCTATTAATGTCACTCCTCCTAATTGATGCTTCCATACACTCAGATATATTGTACTTTGCGGCAATTTTTTATCAGATTGTTACCAATGACAGAAGAAGCAGTGTTACGAGCGACGGGACCGGAGTTGGATGAAAAACGGCAGTTGATGATGATTCGGGGTCATCGTCGAAGCTATTCGGCTCCAATAACAGCTTTATCACCACCGAGTCTACCGCCGTTTCCTGGGCACGATAAGGTCGGAATCCTTCATTCAGCTGTAACTGGCCGACATCAACAGAAATTATATCAACCTATAAGTAGCATAATGTCTAACCTTCAGAAGCAATCAGTGCATTTGCATTCCTATGAGTTTCAGCAAAATCAACTACAAAAACAACAGCAGCAGAAAATTCAGCCAGCTGCTGAAAAAGTTTACGGCCAATTAGAGGTGGAGGTGGTGCCTCATCCATTAGCCTCTTCAGACAACCGTTCAGCTTATCCTTATCAGCTTCCTCCAAAGCAGATGAACACAATCAGCCAAGTAAAAGGGCAGCGATCATCTGAACAGATACCTTCAGAGGAGGCCTCGCCTCACTCCGAGTTAGGAACAACTGGTTCACGAACTGCTGCTCGCGTGTCAGATGTTTTCCTTGATGTAGAGCTTCAACTGCAACAGCCTTTTGCCCATTATGAACAACTTAAATACGATGGTGTCTGTCACACAAAAATATTTTCGCCTAACAACGCTTCCCCGGATCATCAGCAACGTGATAAAGCCAATAAAAATTCTTTACCGCCGCGTCAAACCGATCTCTAGTTGCGTAGTTGAGCTGTGCAACAACAGCAAAATAATGAATGGATCGTTGACTAATCAACAAGATCAAAGGCTGAAAAGGCCGTTTTTATAGCCTAGCATTTTCAAGTGTAGGGATGAACAGCTTGCTTTTTTGGTGTTGTTTTTCCAATTTTTGATAAGAAGTTACACCGGAGTGTGTGAATACGAAGAATTGCGATTAATCGGAAATCATGGCAGCAATTAGTTTCACTTTAAGTTAGTACAGTTATTTGTTTGTCGCAGGTTCTGCTTTCATAAAATTATTCGTCCGACTCCTACTTATCTTTTTCAACCCGTGCAACCGTCTTGCATATCCGCATACGATTTAAAAACGTCCACAAACGGAAACTTCAGTCTTTTATGAAGGTGGTTAGCGATTTATATTGTATTATATAAAACAGCTGTTTATTAACATATTGATTTATGCAATACATTTTTGGAGACCACCTGCTTGATTCAGTTAAGTAATCTAACATGGTGTGATAACCCTTAACGTTGAATTTTTTTACCGTTAAACCATCTTGTTGCGCTTTGCAGTGGTAAGCGTTCTAAGAGGCTTGCAGCACATCACAACGTTATCGTCTTCACAGGCAGTCTCAACATTATTCAGCAACAAAATGAAAGGAATGATTGAATTCCTTAAACATAGGTGACAAGGTTTTTGTACATATTTTTAGTGTTATCGATATTGCGTTAGTAAAAATGTAAACGATGAATTTTATTTGGGCTAATTTGTTCTCTAAATAAATACGGAAAAGTAAATCTGTTTTTCGAAATTATTACACTTTTATTTTCGAGGTAAACACATACATTTTTTAAACTGATAGTTAAATTATAATAAACGCGACAGTTCTGCCTTGGTTTAAAAATTCAAAGAGACTAGCGTTCAGTTGGTCTAATTTTTCAACATACGTGCTGTTGTCAATGATATCCGATTAGGCGCAACCAGATTGTTGGGATCCTCAGCTCAAGAGTAGATACATAGAACAACCAATACAATCTTTAATCTAGCGTATTTTTTGTAATTTAGAAAACATCGAACAAACGATTGTACCAATAATTTAGGGTTTGTTATTTTATAGCCGTAACATATGCTGCAATTGAGGTGAATACAAAAGCTCTGATTCAGAGACAGTCGCTGTGTTACCACCCATTTAATAGAAGCATAATAATGATAGCTTATTATATTACTGTGCAGTAGGTAGTGATCACAAATTATTCTAGGAAGGTAAACAATAACAGAATAGCATAGAACCGTGTAACATGGCTGAAAAATGATAGCAGGATTATTACATAGGCTTAAGGTGAGCAATTACTCTATGAACTTTGTGAAACACGTAACTAAGCGTGGCGAACTTAGTAGTCAGAAGTGAAAGTAAAAATCACGGCTATAGTTTGAAAATTTTACCCTTGATGCACCCCTTGTAAAATTTGCGCTGCTTTTTTTCGATCTTTTGTAGCGGCGTATTTCGCATACTGGTACCTGATCATTATGAATCCAATGACCCTCATGATACGGTGGATGCTGGCTACCCAAAAAAAACCCAAAAAAAAAGAGCCGAGTCAGAATTGGCAAGCTGTTTTTATGAGTGACGATTAGAGTATCATTGAATTCGAATACTTGTGCTTCTTGTAGACACGTTGATATTTTTATAGATCGACGGACTTGAAAATGGCGCCATCTGAGATTTTTCGTACTGCTCCACTAATGGCTTGCCTTCAGCATGAAAACTAGGCTCGCCGCGTGGTTCACTTGTTGGGCGAAGACTACGCTATGCGCGAAATACTTGAAAAATATATACTGTAATATGAAAGCCACCGCTAGCAGGCTCAAGCTTCATAGAATCCGCGTTCACCTTGTAGTACTGGTTGTTGGCAACTGATACACGGGCTGGATTCCCCTCTTCGTATATTAGATTGTTGAAAAAGCGCTACCCGTTTTTCTAGGTAGATTATTTTGAAAACCAAATCTCAAGTAATATTAGTTGTATTAGAAATTAATAGATTTGCTAAGATTGTTAGATTTTTTTTGTTCAAGCTTAAGATAGACCACCATGAGTTCCTACAAAACATAGCGATATTTTATTTTAATTTTATTATGATAAGGCATGAATGCTACCCAGACACATGTGATGTTTACAGCCGAGAAAAAAGATAACTATGTTGCTTTCATTCTGAAAATGTTGATCTTAAGGATGCTAATTGTAAAAATCGATCGAGCAAATTGAAAGTTGTGACAGGTCGTCCCATAAGTAGCCATGATATAACAGCCTACATTAACCAGTTTTGAATTATTTTAAGAAAAAGAAGAAGAATTTTAAGAAAAGTTATCTATTTATGTGCTGTATAAATTGATGCAAAAAAATTTGCCCGATCATAGTTGCATTCGGGAGACTCCACAGGAACGCAACGAAATCTCATCGTTGCCAACGGTTAATACGGACAATCAAAAGCAGGTGCCATACCCGTAATGACGGACAAATATAAAAAATTAAATGCGTTCTGTGGTAAAGGTAAAACTGATGCCGAGGAAGAGTTACTATGTGTTTGGTAAGACCGGAAGACACAAATCATTCATTTTGAGTTGCTACCTTCCCGCAAAATGTACGTTGATTGTCATTAGAATACGTCATTAAAAAATAACGGAGGTGGTGAATAGATAGTGTTATTTACACCATGGCAATATCAGCTAGCTATCCGGAAATTGAGAGGACTTCGATAGAATTCGGCAAGTAGATGCAAAAAAACGCTCCTTACAATTTTTCGCTCGGAAACCACAGAAGTTCTACAGCGATCCGATTATGGCGTTCACTGAAAAGAGGTAGAAAAGTAATCCATCAACATGACGCATATTTAGCTTAATAGTATTATTTTGAAATATAAACAACCCAGTTTCTCCTTAAGAACAGTCAATAGTTTTCCGCCAACCCAATAATATTCCGGCCCTAATACACATATAGCATAGGAGGTATTCAGGTGAGCTTTACAAAAGCTTGAGAGCACTAATGGCTAAACCTGCCACGGAAGCACCGGGTACAATTGCAGCGTTCCGAAGTTACAAGAGTCATCCTTCACAAGCATACACCGCGCGGACAAGGTTTCTGATGATGCTGTGTTCTAAAGTGCTAGTAACGTATATTTAGATGCATAAGTTTTATTTATTTTTACCAAGTAATTATCAACGACTTACAGATACACAAATTATAGTCATTCATATGTATACTCAGAATGGTACCCGAAAAAAATTTTTACAAATGACCTCACAATATTTTAGCAGCTTATTTTCGAGACTTAATGTGTCGGGTCTCTCCAGCAAGTAGTTGTACCCAGACTACACAGATTACCTCCACATGTGAATTAACCTCTGCTGCAAAGTTAACAAAAGAGACCGATTCGACCGTTGTACGTTCGCTAGAAAAATTATAAAATCAAGTTTCGGCCCCACTTAATCAAACAACGTTCGTTTGGCCGGCACGAAGTTCACGGTCGTTTATCTCCGGTTCTTAACGAAGTTAAAGGTTTTTTGGCGATATCTAATCTTTTCTTTCAAAAAATGGTCTATACTACATACCGGTCTCGTGTCGCCTTGCACTCGTGCCACAACGCGGCCCCGCTGAGGCATCTCTTGTCTCTTGACCTGTGCTTGTTGGCCTATCTGACGCTACCCTTTACCCGAGGCTCTCCGCTCTGTTCTTCCCGCGCTAAGGGACTTCTACCGAACCTTTTGTGGTCTTGTCCGTCCCACAATGCTGCCACGAAGTTGTACCACACCGAATATAGGTTTATTTTTTGTCGAATAGGACTAGCTCTGTCGAATTGACGCGACGTTCGAAATTCTCAGAAACCATTTATATATATATATATATATATGTATATATATAATAGAAAACGCTATTATATATAAGTAATAGCATTTTTTATTTTTTCGTTTGTTTGTACCTAGATGCTATACATGAGCCTTGGAAAGTTTTTTTTTGCTCACCAAACCTGTTTTAGATCAAAGGTGCCCTACGAAGTCGTAACCTTTGAAATGTATGTATTGTTTTTTAATGTGGTAATTTTTACATTTCACGACAAATAAAAAGCGCTTTTCTAGAAAATATTAGAAAATAAAATAAGTGAAAAGTGATTAAAAAAAAGAATAAAAACCCATTAATAATTGATTTTAAAAGAGCAAACAAACATTTACTAGCAACATCAAACTTGAAAGTGGCAAAAAAAATGAATATTGTAAGGTATTGGGCATTTTCTAGTCCCTGAAGTCTCCGTCTTCCTAATGAATTTCCCTAATCTTTCGAAATTCGATTCTTGACAGACACTGTACCTGTTTTTTTAAAATTTTAAATCTTATGTTATTACATTTTCCTTACGGAGAAATTTAAAGGAGCTTTCCAATAATATACTATAACGCTGTGGTATCG